GGGGACAGTGCAACAGCGTAAGTATGGCCTCCTCCACAGTGGGTCTGGAGCCCTGGACAAACGCTTGATGCTTCTGACCTCAGGGTCCCATCTGGAAAATGAGCACAATGAGAGAAGTCCCTGGTGGGTTGTTGCGAGGCCTCCCTAAGATGAAGCAGCACGAGATCCCTATAGCATTATGTAGCCAGATGCCTGGGTTCTAATCCTGCCCTACCACCAACTGGACGATCTCAGGCCTGCAATTTACCCTCTCTAGGTCTCAGTCTCCACATCTGGAAAAAGGGATGGTAACAGTGGTGACATCACAGGGCTGTGTGAGGTTTTAAAGTGTTTATAGATTCTTAAATAGGATGTACACGTTTTATATTGTTTTCTGTATACGTATTATGCTTTGTAATGTGAAGACTGTGTGTGATGGTAAGGAAGGAACATTGCATGCAAACTCAGCACAGTCTGGCACATAGTGAGTGGTCAGGAAATGTGTTTTTTATTATCATCCTGTAGGTCAGTGAGAACCATGGGGAGTATTAGAGTGAGGGGGTCACCCTTAGTCAAGTTCTGTTTTAGGCATATTAGAAAGAAAGAGACAGGAGCCAGGATCACTAGTCCAGGCACTACCTTTGTATGGGAGGGAAAGATGCTCCAGCTGGGTAACAGAGCTCCATACCAGGGCACATGACTTGTTGGAGCGAGCCAGGTACTCTCACAGAGTGAACAACCTGCTCAACTGTACTTGGCAACCCTGCCCAAGAAGAAAGGACAGGGTGATGGTTGATTAGCGGCTCCACCTCTGAATTTCTTGGCCTCCCTGGCTCAGCCCCCACAACCCCCTCCAAACAGCGGGCAGCTCAGAGACTAGAAGCCCACGCAGCAGATGGAAAGACTCCCCAGCTGGCATGTGTGTGTGGGTGGGTGGAAGGGGGGAGGGCGTAGCGATTTCCTGTGCCCCAATCCCAGCTTGCTCGCTCTCTGACCACATTTTTCCACCTCACTTTTTTCCCCCATAATGTGCTCACCCGTTTTAAGATCAAGATTGTTTTTTGTGAATGGAATGTAATTTGAGAGCCGGAGAGGCACGTCCCAGAGAGGTGGTACAGATGGGGAAGGTGCCTCTTCCATGTGAAAGGCAAGCCAGGCAGCCCCGCAGAGTCCCTGGTGGCCAGGGCAGCCAGTGAGACAGACAGGGCCAGGTGGGGAAGGTCATGGCGCTGGCAAGGCCAGAACGGGAGAGGCCAGGGCTCCCCCTCCAGCTCCCCCACTGCGTGGTGGCCCCTCCAGCCACATTCTCTAGGCTTTGTGCTGATCAAACTCCAGGGCAGGACCACCCAGAGAGAGCCCGACCTCTGCCCAGGCGGGGGCATCTGGGGGCTGTGGCCTCTTCAACCAGGGTCTGGTGACTTCCAGAGGCCCCTCCTGCAGTCTCGGCCCCGACTCTGCACTAAGAAGAACTCACTCATTCATTTGTTCAAACACTATTAATTCCAGGCTTCCCATGTGCCGGGAACTGCACAGGACACTGGATATCCCTATGAAAGGGAAAGCTGAGTCCCCTGTCCTCAGGGACTGATGGGAAAAAGCAGCCAACACATAACTCTGAACACTACCATGGACTGGGGTTTCTCTGCCCACGTTAAATTGTTCAATCCTTACACCAGCTCTAGAAAGATATTATCACTGCCTACCGTGCAGATGAGGAAATCAAGGTCCAGAGAGATTAAAGAGCTTCCATAAGAACAGAGCCAGCAAGGTTGGACGGGGTCCTGTTGATGCCTGGCCTGCGTGCTTCACCACTGCCCTTTCCAGCTATAGGCAGGCCACAAGCTCCCTGGGTGACCTAGGGGGTCAGGCAGGACCTGCTCTGCAGGAAGGTCAGGCTCCTGCCAGAGTTGCATCCTTCCCAAAGCCACTGTGAGAGGAGGATGAATCTGGGGACTCATGAAACTTCCCAAGGTTCCTGTCTTCATAAACTGAGGATAACTCTCACTGCAGGGTGAATGGGAGAATTAAGCAGAGTTCATCACAGGTAAAGTGCTCGGCACAGTTTCATATATACCAATGTTCAATAAATGTTGCACAGTAGACAACCTGCCCAACAGTACCTGGCACTAGTCTCTCTATTCTTTTTCATGAAAAGGCTACACATTTAAACTGAGAGGAGCCAGCAAGGGCTGGCTTTGAAGGGCAAAAGGCTTTGGCTGGCGTTCAGACCTCCAGAGAAACAAAGAGGTGGCCATCTCAGATTTCCCTGCTGTTCCTCACATGTCTTTGTGAGCCACTTAACTGTGCTCAAAATGTACCGGCCCCTTCTCTGGACAGTCGAGGCCATAGAAATAACCTCCAGCAAAAAGACCTTGAAGAAGACGTTGGAGTCATTGGCTTTGAAGGTCTGGGAAGTTTCAAAGGCACAAATACTGTGCGTACTTTCCAGGACTCATGAGCCGAGAAGGCCGTGAGAGATTGAAAGCCCCCATTTCCCAGCTCTTTCCTCCGCCTTGTTTTTAGTATTAAGGTATCATTCACATATGAGAAAATTCTCCATTTTAAAGGGTACCATTCAGCAGTTTTTTAAAAAAGATTTTGTTTGCTAGAGAGTGTGTGCACATGTGGGGGGGAGGGGCGAGGTGGAGAGAGACTTTCTCAAGTGGGCTCTACACCGAGCGCCCGGCCCGACTCTGAGATCATAACCTGAGCAGAAATCTAGAGTCAGACGCCTGACCCACCGAGCGCCCCCAGCAGTCCGCGACATAGCCACAGGGGTGCACACTCATCACCGAGAGCATTTTCTTCACCCTCCTAAAGAAACCCCGTGTCCTTCAGGGTTGCCCCTCTTCTCCCTCCCCCGGCCCTGGCAAGCATTAATCTACTCTGTCTGATGTCCTTATTCTTGACATTTCACATAAATGGAATCACACCATACGTAGGTCTTTCAAAACTGGCTTCTTTCACTTAGTTGGGTGTTTTTAGGGCCCGGCCATCTGTGTCAGAGCTCCGTTCCTCGCGAGAGCTGGACAACATCCCACGGCAAGGTCAAGCCGCACTCGCTTATCCGTTCACCCGCTGGTGGACACGTGGGTTGTTGGCACTTTCTGGCTATTGTGGACAGTGCTGCTGCGAATGCTCGCAAACGCATTTCTGTGGCCATTTTCATCTGTCTTGGACAGATAGCTGGGAGGGTCACGTGGTTAGTGTGTGTTTAGCCTCTGGAGGAAGGGCCAGGGCGGCTGCCCCCATTTCCACGCCCGCAGGCAGTGCACGTGGGTTCTGGTCTGTCTGCAAACCCACCCCTCCAGGTTACTGTCTGTCCGTCTGATTCCAACCACGGCAGTGAGGGTGACTCCTCTCGGATCTGAACTCCCTCCCTCCCTGCTCTTACGAATGTAGAATGTAGTCCTCACCCTCCCAGGGTGCTCCAGCTAGGGGGGCTCCCGCTAGCCTGAGATTCCAGGAAGTCGGGGAGCGCACCTGTCCTGTCCCCCGCGGTCCCCGGGGCCCAGCCCAGAGCAGCTGCTCCTGACAAAAATAGTGTCGAATGAATCCTGACTGCGTGCTGCTTTGATCTAAAGATTTTTTTTCAACAGTGAGACGTCCGAAAGCCACAGCGACGTTGGCATCATGTGGAAATTTCCAAGTCCTTGGCGAGCTCTGCTCTGACAACTTGCGGCTTCAGCCCGGCCCAGGCAGACCCCATCCTCACAGTGACCGCCCAGGAGGGCCTTGGTTTCGGGGTGGGGGTGATGGCCAGGCCCCAGCGCTGCAGTTTTGCTCCTGGATGGTGCCCTGGCCTGGCTGGGGCCCAGCCCCCACGACTTGGCCTCGGAGGCGGTCATCTCAGCCAAATGTGGCGGGACATCAATTCATCAGGGCGGATGTGCTGAGGCCGCCCTGAGAGAGAGGAAACGCAAGCGCTCAGCACTTACTGTTTCAAGAAAGAAGTTCTGTCCAGCGACGCTGAGTCGTCCCCATGGGATTGGGGAGCCGGCAGGGAGGTCACTCTCGTTCCCTCTGACAGAGGCGGCTTGGACGGTGGCCGCGGGCTTCAGTGGAACCTGAAGTCAGCAGAGTTGCTCTTGGGTGCCTTCCCACTTTACTGGCTCACATCCACTGTGCTCCCAGCTCCACCAGGAAGCTTCTACCCAAGGCCCTGCTCATGCCCCTGCTCAGGGACACTTAGGAGCCTTTAATCTGCGCCAGACGCTGTCAGACTGCGGTGGTGGTTTTGACCCTCCCACAAGGAAGGCGGTTGTCTTCCTATTCCCATTCTACAGGTGAGGACACTGAGGCCTGGAGAGGTCAGAACTGGTCCATAGTCGCCCGACTGGGAGGCAGAAGAGCTAGGATTCAAACCAAGCTCTTTGGCTGTGGCAGTCCCCAAAAGGTGGGCTGGGGGTCGGTGAGGAACACGCTGAAGTTACCAGGAGCTCAAAACAGAGGCACGAAGTAAGGACCCCACATGCTTAGAACACATCAGTAGGAAGGGACAGCTGTCTTCTGGGCTCATAGCTGTGTGTGTGTGTGTGTTACAGAATCCTTACTTGAATAAAGTGCTGTGATAGGAAGACCTCCGTTTGGGGAACTTTTAAAAAAATATCCTGTCTTGGCCCAAGAGTGAGCTGTCGGGTCTGCGCGGGCTTCCCCCACATTATTATTCTGCGTTTTCCTGACTGGTGGCATCAAGACACAGTGGGGAGGGGAGGCTCGGGCTTTGGTGCCGGCTCTGGTCTTCTTCTCAGGCACAGAACAGACCATCCCCAGCTCAGTTTCCTCATCTGGAGAACAGGCACCAATGTGCCACATCGTCGTCCCACACAGCTGGATCCCTGCCACCGGGTGGAGTTCCCCCTCCCCCGCACAGACCTCCGAGGCTGACCTGTGTCCCAGGTGTCCTGTCCCCCCACCTTCTGGAGGCCCTGGGCTGGTGGGCCTTGGAACAGGCCAGGCAGGCGGTAAGCGAGAGACCGAGATACACCAGATGGCAGTCCCCAGTACGGCTCTAAACGCTAGTGATTCGTTCTTTCCTTCAGTTTTGGGGACCAACATAGGGTTGCCAACTTTGTGTTTTGCCAAATGAGGACATTTTTCAAAATACCACTTTCAGCCACTGCCACTTTGCACCGAAGAGGAGACACATGACCCTGGCCAAAGCAAAGGAGATCAGCAGTTGAGGAATTTTTTTTTAAACTGGGATCAGCCGCACTTGGTGAGTATATTGTCGCATTTTCCATGATCTTCCCCATTTGTTTGCTTTGGACTATGGAAATGTCAACCAGGCCTGCTTTGGCATGTGGCCAGCCATGGGGGCCACAGGTGCCCCCCCCGCATCGGTGGTGGTATTCTACCAGCAGCTGTCGTGGAGATGTGGCTGGAGAAAACTTGGGAGCACTCGGCACTGGATCCCCACTGGTGGGGGGCAGGGGGACGCCCTGGTGATTCCCTCCCACTGAGGGAAAGGGTCCCGAACTCATGGGACACAGGCTCCTGGAGACCTTCCCGCATCCTAGAGGGGCCCAGAGTGCCCAGCAAGGCTGTTGGGCTGGCTTTTGCACTGTTAGAAACCTGACCTTTCCCAAACCTCTATGGTGGGTTGACAGACTGCGGCATCCTGTTTCCCACTGATCTATATACTCGAAATCTTTCTTAACAAAAAGGTGGAAAATAACAAAAGTCACGCCAATGCAGAGTTTGTGCAGAACCCGGAAATGCCTATGATATGCAAAGAGTAGGAGACTGTAGTCACCGAAGAGATGGTAAAGAAATGTTTCCACATGGTACTGATGGATACCTCTGGATGGGGGGCGTATGGATTGTTCTCTCTCTACCTATGTTTCTGGATCTTCTATAATTAGGGGGAAATGCTTTGTAAAAAAATATGAGTAAGCTGTGTCTTGGGGTTTCCTGCTCTGCGTCACCCTTCCCTCTCTTCCCTGGCAGGGAGCTAACTGCTCCTACATGCTCCCTTTGCCTGGGAGGGTAAGGCTGTCCTGTTCTACAGAAATGTCTGTGCGTCCAGAAGTCCAGCAGAAGGAAGGAAGGAGAGGAAATGGAGCCCAGCTCTCAGGAGCCTAGCGTTCCAGGATGGTGCTGAGCTAGGAGATGAGGGCTTTCTGCCCATCGGCAAGCTGTTTGGGGGTCAGAATATGGGGGGGCTATGGGATGTGGGACAGATCTCCAGGGTGGCAAAGATGGGAGGACACGTGGTCCCACCCTCATACAGATCAGAACATGAGATTCAGAGAGGGGAAGTGACCTGTCCAGGTCACACAGCATGGTCTCCCCAGGGCAAGTTGCCCACTCCTGAACCCTCCCCTCCAGGGCCCTTCCCCTACAGCATTCCGGACTTTTCTATCTGGTGGACCCAGATAGCAGCAACTCCAACCCTTTCCCGACTTGAGCATCATCAGGTTTTGAAATCATCCCCAGGTTTTCCAAGGGAAACATATTTTGGGTTTTCTTTCTTTTCTTCTGCTCATTTGAAGAAATCTGAGAGTCCCTTCTAATTGTTTGGTCAAGACTGCAGACAGGCAGTGAGGCATGCCACAAATATGATCTTGAGCCCAGGGAACCCACTGGCCTGGAGAAAGACAGGACATCAGGCCTGTCACTGGTGCTTGGTCAGCACATGAGCTCTGAGTTCTAGAGAGTACAGGGTGTCTGCCAACTTCCCCAGATCCCTGACTTTGGGTTCCCATTCAGAAAGACCGAGGGAGTCTCCATCAAGCTTCCTGAAGCTGGGGCTTTTGTGGATGTGCGTGCCAATGGAATCCATGGGGAGTTGGTAGATGTGGGCCCTGCCAAAAGTGGGGACCTACAGCCTAGACTACATTCCCTAGCCTCCTGTGCAGCTAGGTGTGGTTATGACTTGGTTCTGGCCAATGGGATATGAGCACAAAGTGATATGTACAACTTAAGTAAAGAAAGCAGCATGGTCTTCTTTGACCCTCTCTTCTTTCTTACTAGATAGACGGTGGATGTGATGGCTGGAGTTCCAGCAGCCATTTTGGACCATGAGGCAACTCTAGGAATAGAATCCAACAGAAGAATCAGATGCAAGAAATCTAGATTCTGACATCCTGACATCACACAAGTGAGAAATAAATGTCCATGTTCCTAAAGCTATGATTATTTGGGGTTTCCTTTTACTTGTGGCAATACTATTTCTAAATGACATACCATTTTTTGGTTGGGGGGTGGAACTGCAGTCAAGTGCACGGGGGCTGAAGGGGACCTACTCTGTGTGAGGCTGGGGCACACTCTGAGATGAGACTGATAATTATTATGCATAATAGTAATTGTGGCATGTATCAATGTGCAAATGTAAACTATTTAGCTTAGTGCCTGGCCCAGGGTAAGAGCCCCCCAAATTTTAGCAACTGTATTGTCATTACAGGTGACTAAACCCGTATCCTGGTACATGGGATCCAAAGGGTTGTCTGCAGTCAGAGGGAAGAGCCCAGGAACAGGAGGCATTTGAACATGGCCTTAAAGATGGGAAGAGTAAGTGACATAATCAGGCATGGTGACAAAGAGCTTCATGGATATTATTTCACATGATGCCCTGGGAACCTAGTAGAACAGACACATCCCATCCTTATTACACTGGGCAGGGAACTGAGGCTCAGAGAGAGTGAGTACCGCCCCACAGCACTCAGCAGGGCTGGATTTGGACTTGGGCACTCTGGCTCCACAGTACTCCTCCTGCGGCTCTGTGGGCTGAGGATCAGGGTTCAGGCAATGGGAAGAACAGGAGCAAAGTACCAGGGGTCCAGTCTGGAGCTTAGGGCCCATGTCCAGGAGTAGGGAGCTTGTTAAAGCCCATGAGGGCAGTGGGGGCTCCACAATCAGCGCCTCCTGGACAGGTGCCCCCACCAGTTCTCTGACTCTTCAGGGTTTCTCTGTGTTCTCTGTGGCCAGACCCAGAGAAGGGATAGATGACCAAGCTTGGAATTTAGAGGGGGTTTCCTATGGCTGTGGTAGCAAATGGCCACAAACTTGGGGCTTAATACAACACATATTTATTTTCTCATGTCCTGGAGGTCAGGAGTCAGAGCAGGAGGCAGAGTCTGGATGAGAGCCCACCCCCACCCCTTCCAGAGACTGCCCAGTGCACGGAACTGAGACACTCTGCCCCATTCCTTATTGCTCTTTGCCAATTCAAGGCCCAGCACCCAGGGAACAATACTCTGGCATCGGCTTCTCTAATGCCCCTTCTGGGCGGCCCTCATGTCCCCCAGTGTCTCCCCATTTGGGATGGAGCCATTTCCCAGGGGATCCTGTCCATCCCACTGTCTTCACCAACCAGGACCCAGAGAGGGGCCCCACCCAACCCCATCCCCCCTGCCTCTTAGCACGACCCCCAAGATCCATGCACACATCCCCCAAACCAGACTCAGAATCGGCAGAAATGCTGGGGCTTGGCAAGGTCACAAAACCACTGCCAATTGTGGGGTCTGCAGAGGCCCCAAACTGAGCCCCCCTCCCCGAGTCTGTGCATTAGCCTGCTGGCTTTGCACAGTCTGTGAAATGTCAGCACAGTGTAATGTGGCTGCTGGAAAAAAAACAACTAATTCAATCTTTGGCTGCACTGACAATGTCTGAGGCTTGGATCCTGGGAGGGAAGAGCTCCCTGAGCCAGTGAGGTCGGACTCCATGTGGGGACGGGGCCTCCGCGGGCCCTGGTAGGCCCTCTGACCACCTGGACCTGCCACTTCCGTCCTGCCCTGGGTTACTATAGCCAGACACCGAGAGTCCTTCCCAGTATCACCCCAAAGTGACATGATGAGGGCGGACGATTATTATCCCTACTTCACCGAGGCTCAGGGAGGAGTCCTGGCCTGTCCTGGGTCCCAGCCAGGAGCCAAGACTTGGCCCCCTGGACAGAAAGTTCCATGAGGCAAGGACCTGTGTGCTCGTGTAGGGCTGTGTCCCTACCAGGAGCCCAGAGCTGGAGAGGAGGGGACCATCAGCAGCACCTGATCCCAGACAGAGGAGCGACTGAGCCCAGACCAAGGACCAGCTCTGAGCACTCCTCCCAAGTGTACAACGCAATGTTTCAGGAAACATCAGTGACCCCAAATGGAGCAATATTCTCTAAAACAACTGGCCAAGAATACACACGTCAGGATCAGGCCAGCTAGAGACAGCAGGTGAGCCTGAAAACGATGTTTGCTTCTTAACCAAAATGACATTATTAGGACAACAAATGTGAATTCTGAACAAAGTCGGTCAATGAGATAATAGGAAAAAAAAAACATGTTAGTTTCCTGATTTCGCCATTTGTACTGTGGCTGCACGAGGCCCGTCCTGCTCTTAGGAAACACCCGTGAAGTGTCTGGGTAAAGGGCCATCGGGTCTGCAGCTGGCTCTCGAGTAGATCAGAGAACACCACCCACACACAGAGAAAGAGAGTGGTAAGACAAAGTAAAATCAGTAAAATGTTCCCAACTGGGGAATTTGGATGAAAGCATTTTGCATGATTTCTGTACAACTGAAATGATTTCAAAATGAAAAGTTACAAAATAGAAAAGTCAGTATCCACAAGATTGAGGAGCAGTTCCCAATTTAAGGAGACCAGATAGACTCAGGCAGGAACTGCAACTCCTCTTGAATTAGCAGGAAAGCCAGCACTCAGGGACACGCATGGGACGGTGGGGGACATGGGAATTTTGAGAGTGGGTATCACGTTCGGGTTAATTTTCTGGGTGTGACAGCCCCATGAGGGCTCGCAGGAGAATGTCCTTGCTCTTTGTAGGGTCAGGGCAGAAGCCTGCAGACACTGGGGTCTGGGCAGAGGTTCAGGATGTCTGCCTCCCTTGTAGGGTTTGGCAGAAATATGTTTATAGGAAAGAGAGACTGAGCCCTGCAGCTCCCTGTCCCCCGCAGCTCCCTGTCCCCCGCTATTCCCTCTCCGGCCGCAAGAGGTCTCTATGTGGCCCTATGGGAAGGTGGTTTTCATTTTTCGAAGTTCCTTTTTTTAAGTTTCTTAGACATGAACTAAAACGTCGCCCTTTCTGGCTGACAACCCCCCCCCCAAACTGCTCTTTCTGCCATCAGTGTTAAGGTGGCTTCTTCTGGGCGGTGCTCCCAGTGCTGGGTTTCCAGGTCCCCCACCACACTGTCCTGTGCCCCAGAGGCCCTCATAAGGGGGTCTCTGCTGCCCTCCTGTGGCCATCACCGACTACACAGACGCCCCTCCTGGAGGGCAGAAGCCTGCAGACCTTTGTAGCTTCTCCTCGCCCTACAAGAGCTGGGGTCTCCAGAGGGACAGAACCAGTCCCTCAGAAAAATGAGGGACTTGTTTTAAGGAGTTGGCTCTTGGGATTGTGGGGGCTAGAAAGGCCAAAATCCATCGAGCAGGCTGTTGGCCTGGATGCCACGGGCCAGGGCCATGGCCTTGGATATAGTGACAATGAGGAAAGACAAGAGGGAGTGAAGGGAACCGAGCGAGGAAAGGCCGCTTGTCTGAAAGTTCCCCGAGCAGGTGGGGAGTAGAAGAGAGGAGGGTTGGGGGAGTCAGCTGGGGGGGCATTTCTCCAGGAGGAGGAGAGGCCTGCTGGTGTTGAAGCTGGAAGAAAGAAGTGTAGAGGAACAGGGACACAGAGCAGCATGCCTGTTTGACCAGGGACCAGATCCAGAACCCAGGGCAAAAGTGCCACCTTCATTGTGGGCGCCTCTTAACATGGACAAGATACTCCGCCAGGCTTGCTCAGGACGGAATTCATCAACCAAAGGGATCATCAAGGTATAGGGAACCCGTGTGAAGTCAAAAGACCTGGAGAAAACAGGCAGGCCACAGCCCCCATGGGGAGAGAGGCTGGCCATGTGGGAACACAGCAGCGCTGCGGGGAGGGAGGGGACGTGCAAGGGTCCTGGGGCCACCATACCAAAACAAGTATTAATACGACAGAGGTTTATGCTACAGTCTGAAAGCCAGAGGTCCAAAGTCAAGGTGGGGGCAGGGCTGAGCTCCCTCTGAGGGCTCCAGGGGAGGATCCTTCGTGCCTCTTCCAGCTCCTGGTGTTGCTGGCCATCCTTGGCCAGCGGCCATGTCCCTCCAGTCTCAGCCCCTGTGTCAGACAGCCGTCTCCCTGGGTTTCTGCTTCCTCTTCTTATAAGGACACCAATTGTTGGACTAGAGCTCGTCCCACTCCAGCATGACTCATCGCAGCTGGTTCTATCTGCAAAGACCCTCTTTCCAAATAAGCTCACTTCTGGAGGTTCCAGGGGGACATTCTGGGAGAGACGCTATTCAATTCAGCACAGCCCCAAGAGTGAAGGGGGCCAAGAACCTGAAAGGAACGGGACCTGGTGCGCAGAGTGGGGAGCACAGGAGCCCCTGCCCTGCCCAGCATCCTGCAGGGGTGAGCCTAAGGGCACACAGGGCAGAGCGAAGTGTAGGGAGCGGGCAGGCAGCAGCACAAGGCAGTGGGGCACCCAGGACCCGCTGCGGGGGAGCCATCACCACGCTGGGCCGATGTGCACGGAACCGCTGTGGAAGTCCGGCCTTGCCCTGTCCCTTTACCATCACACCAGAGACTTCTTTCTGCTAACGAGGACCAGGCAACAAGGTACTGTCACGATCCCATTTCATAGGGGAGGTGACTTGCCCAAGGTCCCATAGCAGGGCTGGGTTCTGGGATTTAAACCTGTGTTTAGTGGACTCTTAAGTCCTTGCTTTTATCTGTGCTTAAGGAAAAAAAAGAAAGAAAAAAGCTCTCCACTCTGAAAACCTGCCGACGCACCAGGAGGAGCAGATGCAGCCAGGGAATCCCGTGACAGCAGCAGCTCGGCATTTGGACCACACCTGCCCCTCCGCCCGCCCTATCCCTTACAGCGTTGGCACCTTTGTCCTTCTCTAGGTGAAATGTGCACGCGGTGAAAGGTACACAGCTTCCACTTAGTAAAACATGCACCTTAGTACAGCTTCATCATGTGGTCTGGGAATTCCTTTCGGGTTCTCTCTACTTTCTTACTTTTCTAATAATGAGCAAGAACTGTTTTTATAAATAAGGGGGAGAACAACAAGACGATGACTGAAATGTTAAAAAAGTCCCTTTGGGCTGGGGTCCCTGTCCCCTCCATTCACCTACAAGGCTCCAGGACCCCCCAGATGGACTCTGTGCTTTCCCCTACAGCCGCTCCCAGGTAACCAGGTATCCCAGGACCCTGCCGGCTGCTCCCAGAATTTGGGGGAAGGCTGGGCGGCAGCCCCTCATGGCTGAGCCCCAAGCAAGCTGCCCTAAATCCAATCTGTGCTAGAGAACCCCACACTGCCTGGCTCTGCAGAACCTCCAACTTCAAACGAAGGATATGGGGGCTCTCTGGGACCCCTCCCCCCAGCCAGTGCGAGGCTGGCAAGGCTGGCCTGGGGAGAGGTTGCCAGGCAACCAGCTGGGGCTCCTCCCAGGGTGGCTGTGGGTGGCCATGTTGCCTGGCAACCAGGTGCCAGCGTCCCTGGAGCCCAGACCGCACAGCTGCGCCCAGCCCCGCCCGCTCCTCCCTGGCTTGTGGGACCCCTGGGGCCCTGGCCTCATTCCCCTCGCCTAGGACAGCTGGAGCCTCCGGTCACAATGAGCATTGTTCTCTCCAGGTGAGTGGCCCTGCACTGGCCTGGGCTGGGAGGGAAGGGGAAGCAGGATTTGGGGGGTCTGATGCACCAAGAGAGATGGGGCAGCCAGGCCTGCTGGGGCCGGGTGGTGGTAAAGGGTGCCCTCCCTCCCGCAGCACCCCACCTCAAGGTCAAGGGAAGCCCAGGAAACCTTCCAGAATCTGGCCTCTGCTTCTCTAGCATTGATCACCCACAGCTCTAGGGTAGCCAAATTCACAGGGTCCATTCCCTCTTTCCCTCATTTGGCTCCACCTGGGAAACCCCTCTCGGTGCCTCCAAGGCCCCAGACCCTGCGCCCCTGTGGTATCGTCCCTGGCGGCACTGCCTCTGGCCGGACCCTGTCAATGTGGCGGTGCAGCCTGCCTGCCCCTCGCCTGTATGCTCTGGTGCTGGGCTCCTCTGAGCATCGCCAACTCGAGGGTCTCTCCCAACCACTCTACGTGCCTCTTTAAAAATGCAGCCCCTGGTAATAACAGGGGAACCACGTGCGCCCGGAGGGGAGGGCATATGGGACCTCTCTGGACTTTCCACTTAAGTGTGTTTCTGTCAACCTAAAACTGGCCCCCTAAAAAAGTTTAAGCTTTCTTTTAAATTTTCAGGCTTTGGAGAAGGCAGAGAATTTCAAAACTCAGCAGTGGGGGAAGGGAGCAGAATCAGGAGTTTGGAGGGAAGGGGCTGTGGCAGCTGGAGGTGGTTGGAAGAGCGACTGCTTCGGGAAGATCAAAGCCCCCGGGGGGTCCCAGGGAGGCTCAGGCTGGATTTGGAGTCCAACCAGCCTTGGCATTCCTGTCGGCAGTCTGAGCAGCCTCTCTCTCCACCCTGCTGGTCTCCCACATCTGCCTGGATAGAACCATGTGCATGACTGGGGGAGGGGACCAGACACCTGCCGGGGGGTGCTCGACAGCTAGATGGGGAGTGATGCAGGGGAGACCCTTGTGTCCCTGTCCCAACCTGCCAGAACAGCCTCTCAGGCCCCGTCCTCCCCAGGGACAGCCAGGTGAGGGTGATGGAGAACACTGTGACCAATGCCGAGAAGTACTTTGGCCAGTTCTGCTCGTTGCTGGCCGCCTACACCCGCAAGACGGCTCGGCTGCGGGACAAGGCTGACCAGCTCGTCAGACAGCTCACCGACTTCGCCAACACCGAGCACCCAGAGATGCGGGCCACCATGAGGAACTTCGCCGAGGACCTGGCCAAGGTGCAGGATTACCGGCAGGCCGAGGTAGGTGGGGTGGCCCGGGAGGACGCCAGTCCCCTGGCGGGGGTCGGGCCTGACGGGGGGAGCTGCACCGCCGGGGCCCCAGCTCAAGGACCTGCCTCTGCCAAAGGCATCCCCGAAGGGTAGACACTCACATCGCTCTCTCCCTGGGGGTCACGCCACCCTTTATGGGACCAAGAGCCTGGAGGCTTTGTGGCAGTTGGACGAAGACCAGACAAGGCAGGGGCCCCGGGAAGCCAGGCCTGAGGGCTGCAGCTGCCGGCTCCGTGAGTCCCAGGCAGGAGGCACATTCCAGGGCCCAGGACCCTGGTGGGTGAGGGCAGGGAGGCAGCAGCGTGTTAGGGGGAGGATTAAAAATACACATCACCTGCCAGCCCAGAAAGCCTTGTGTGACTGCAGACAAGATCCAACCAGCTTCTCTTCTGAATAAGCACCAAACAGGACACACTGCAGGCCACGCATCGGGGCCTGCAGGTAGAGCCCTCGCTCCCCAGCACTGCGGGACAGAAACCACCCTGCACGCACCGTCTCAGGACAGGGGACCAGATGGCACCGTTGGTTCCACAGGACCTCCGTACTTCACAGGCAGCTGGGTGGCACCTGTGCCACAGATCACCTCTCTCCCAAGGAAGAGTAAAACTTCTGTCTCTGTCACCAGCAGGTCGGCAGAGCTTGGAGCCAGGCCCCAGAGCAAACTCCCTGGGGAGACACATCTTCCTTGATGTTGATGTTTCAAAGAGATGCCTGCCATTCCCAGCTTGTAAACCATCAAGAATCCTATTTAGCTTTCAAAAAGGTTTACATAAGTCCCAAAGGGACAGAGAAAGGGATTTACAGTTGTAGGTTTTCTAAAAGAAAATGCTGTAAGGAAAGCAAGGGGAGAAGTCCCTTTTCCTTTTGACTCCCAGGAAATTGATTATTATTAAAGATTTGTGTTTTACCCCAGCAGGGTCATAAGCCTTGACAAGGAAGAGGAAGGGGCTTGCTGGGGATTCCAGAACCCCCGGCCCATCCGCATGCCCAGATTTCTGGGGATCCCCCTGCCACTGGTGCTCAAAGCACCAGCCTCACCTGTGAACTGAGAAATGCAGAATCTTGGGCCACAATGAGGACGTGCTGATTCAGGACCCCCGGGGTGGTGGCCAGCAATCAGGGTCTTAAGGAGCCCAAGGGAAAAGGATGGGGGGCTCCAAGGTCTGGCATTTAGGCATTGACTCAGGTGTGAGGCATCACCCCCACAGACCCTGCTCTGCCCTCGGGGGCCGAACACAGCTCAGGAAGCTCTGAATCCGGGCTCTTTCATGTTCCAAGTGAGTCTGTCTAGTCCCCTCAGCCAAGTTGTAAGGCAGGCTGGAGAACTGGGATCACAGTGGCTCCCAGTATACCCATTTCACAGGTGAGGAAATAAGGCTCGTGAGATGAAAGGTATTACCCGAGCCTTTGGGAGGCAGAGCCCTGAGTGCAGGCAGGTGCTCACAACCCTAAGGGGCAAGGCAGGGTGTGTCTCAGGCTTCCAGAAGCCCCCACAGGCTCCCGCCATAGAGCACTCTCTAAATGCAGGCTGCAGGCCCCCAGGCTCCACGCACCTCCGGGGTCCTGTCTGCTCTGACTCTCTGCGTGTCCATGCTCCCCCAGGTCGAGAGGCTGGAGACCAAGGTCATCTGCCCCCTGAAGCTCTATGGGGCGCACATCAAGCAGACACGGGTAAGCAGGGGGCCCTGCCCGACGGGGTCTGGCCTGCCTGGACATCCAGGAAACAACTCTCCTCTTTCCTTTAGGCCGAGATCAAGAAATTCAAACAAGTCCAGAAGAACGAGATGAAACAACTGGAAAAGCTGGAAAAACTGAGGCAGAAGTCGCCTTCGGATCGGCAAATGATCGTATCCTTCCCTGGGGGTCGGGCCTGAGGCTGCTGGGCCAGGGTGGCCATTGCTCACCGGGGTCCTCTGGGTCGGGGCTGCTGGTTGATGTGGCTCCTTGACAGGACCCTTCTCAGTCCCAGGTGAGTGCCCCAGGTCTGTGTGGGAAGGCGGGATCTCATGCAAGGGACAAATGACCTCACAACACCAGGCGAGCTTGTGCCTGGCTGCTCAGGATGCAGGTCAGAGGTGCAGGGCAAGTAGTGGGCCGGGGGTCCAGAGACCTGGGCTCTGTCCCCTCGTTTGCACTGTTCAGTAAGCTGGGGAGTCACCCCCTCCGTGCCCCCACCTCCTCATCAGAGCTACTTACTGAATGCTCACCGGATGTGGGCACCTCTAGCCTCATGCCCATTGTCTCGATGAGGAAACCGAGACCAAGAAAGGGGACCGGCTCAAGGTCACACAAGGGAGGCCGGGGCGAACCCAGAACTCCATTCTGAGGGTATCTGACTCTAAAATCCAGGTTCTTCGTGTTCCTGGCCAGGAGCTGGGTCAGGTGAATTACTCAATTACCTAAAAACATTCCACAGGCAGGAATTATTACTGAAAGCGGAGCACCTGTTACAACAGTTCAGCAGGTGCCCGCTGTTTAATTCCTACGACCCTGAGAAGCACCTGTTATTATTGCCCCCTGCTTACAAGCAAAGGAACGGAGGCTCAGAGAGGTTTAGTGACTTGCCCAGGGTCACCCAGCTAGGAAGCAGGTCTGTCCAAGCAGCGCCTGGCCCTTTCACCATGGTCCTACTTGGCCTTTCCTTCGATGACCAAATTGGCAAGAGATGTCACGAGGCAGGAGAGACGACTCAAGGGAAGAATGGAAAATGACCCAGAGTAGTGTCTAAAGGCAGGAACCACCCCATGACCCTTCTGCCTCTGGAGCCAGGCGGAGACCGGTGTGCAGAGGGCCTCAGTGGACGCCAGCCGCATCACCCACCAGCTGGAGGAGGTGATCGACACCTTCCAGAAGCAGAAGCTGAAGGACCTGCAGGTAAGTGGGCTCGGCCCTGCGCTAGAAGTATTCTGGCCTCACGTCCGAGTGTCTGTATACACGCGCGTGTGTGTACATCTGCGTATGTGTGTATAACCTGTATACATCTGTGTGAGCGTGCAAGCACGTGTGTCCATGGCGTGTGTGTGAGCACATGTGTGTGTACAGCTGTTTGCCCAGACGGCTTGGGGCCGGGGCTCCCAGGACAGTTTATCTTGGCCTAATCCTGGCTGCAGGGAGAAGGCCCTTCCTCTGAGCACCCAAACCCAGCTCCCCACCAGGAGAATTTGGCAGACATTGACCCCACAACCCCCTCCAAGCCCACACAAGGACCCACAGCCTTTGCTCTGACTTCCTCCCCCTTTCTTTGCCCTTCCCCTGAGCAAGCCATGGTTCAGCACAGCAGGGTGGCAGAGGGGTTGCCTCCTTCCCCATCCCTGCAGTGCAACCCAGGCTCCTGGGCCCAGAGCCCCAGCTGGTCACAGAGACCCCTGCACCCATTCTCAACAACCCCACCCCCAAGTTGCAGCCCCAGGGATCTCACCAAAGGCAGCTGCAATCTGTCACTCCTGGGCTAAATGCCCTCCTATGACTTCCCTTACTCGAGGGATAAAGGTAGAAATCCTCCCCAAGTCTCCGGAAGCCCCAGCCCAGCCTTATCTGGGACACATCTCTCCAAGCTCAAGTGTACTAAACCCCAACACACCTCAGTGCCTTTGCACAGGCTGTGCCCTCTGCTAGGAAGGCTTTGCCCACACTCTGCATCAAGTTAACACCTCAACTTGGGGAAACTCACCTGGACCCCCAGGCCAGTCCAGCCCTGATGTTAACTCATGGCTCTGCTCCCTCTGGGGACAGCGATCTCAGGGGGATGGGTTAATTGTATCTCTAATTCACTCATTAATCAAGCAAACGTTGAATACACACCTACAGTGTGCCAGGCACCGTGCCAGAAAGCAAGGCCCCTGTCCTCATGGAGCGGACACCTTGGGGAAGACCCGTGACACATGCTAATCATTATGGTGTGAAGGGGGGCTGCACCTTGCTGTTCCAAGCCTGCCCCCCGGACTGCGTCTGTGCCGTGGGGCACGCACACGTGGGGCGTGATGTGGCGCCTGCCTCCTTGTCCCCTGCTGGGTCCCCGCACCGGGTCCAGGGCCTGGCACCTCGAGTACTCAGTCAGTATTTGGGAAACGGATGCACAAGGACAGAACCCGGGGTGATGAGTGTTCTGCCATCCCTGCTGCGGGCGCAACCTGAACTACCAGCGGGCCATTATTAAGCACTTGATGTTTATGTGGCCTGAAAGCAGGGCTCTGCGGGGCGCCAGCAAGAGTTTGTTTGGGAGGAGAGTCGAGATTCGGCTTCCGCAGTTGGGGGCCAGCGGACGCATGCAGTGTAAACCTGGCATCCTCTAAACTTGGGGGATGAAGTTTGTACGGGGTGCTTATCCAAGCCCTGAGAGAGCCCTCCCAGTTCTGAGAGCGCAGACACTCAGAACTGGAGATGATGCGGTCACTGCATCAGGTCTAGGTCCCATGTCTAATAAAATGATCATAGTCCCAAAGCGCTCAGGCCTGTGAAAGCACGTAAGGATGCTTTCGCACAGGGGTTCGCAGAGCTGCGCGGGCAGCAGGAATCCCCTGGAGGGCTGAAAACACAGATCCCCCCACGATGGGCCCACCGCGGAGTCCATTCTGTGGGGCTGCGTGGGGCTATGTCCTGCCGGGGCCCAGAGCCAAGCAGGAGCCTCTGCGAAGGCCTGGCATGCGGGAGGGGCCCTCGCTGGGGCCGGCCGTGCTGGAGGGGCTCTGTCAGAGCTCGCTGAGCTGAGCAGACCCGTGCGATCGAGACGAGCCCGTATTACACTTGGATGAGCCGGCCTGCCCGGTGGTGAGGCGCCTCCGGGAAGATCCACTCCTAGCCCACGGGTGACCGAGGCCAGAGGTGTCATAGCTGTCCCCTTGCAAACACCGTCCCTCAGCGTGAGAGAAGCAAAGGCTGTGCAGAGGAGTCCAGGTGAGAGAGCAGAGCCACGGACGCCCCCCAGGAAGCCTTCACCAGGAAACAGCCCTCTGCATTTCCAGAACAATTCCCGAGCGAGGCGGCTTCTGAATGGGAATGTATAGTCTGTTCAGACAAAATAATTAAAAGGAACACGGGCCTAGGACCTGTCCCCACGAGAACGACTAACAGCCCCCACCCCTATTTGTCCACATTCACGATGACTCCAGGACTCCCCTTACGACGGGGCTGCTTATGTGATGATTTGGGCTTCTCTCCCCACAGAAAATTTTTTCAGACTTTGTCACCATCGAGATAGTCTTCCACGCCAAAGCGGTGGAGGTGTATTCCAGTGCCTTCCAGATCCTGGAGAGCTACGACCTGGAGAGAGATCTGGAGGTATACCCCGCAAGCGCCCCACTTTCTACTTGACGGTGTGGGGCTCAATCTGATTTTAGGTATCTTGATAGAAACCATTTTTATTGGCAACATTTTGCCACGGTGATAATTTTGAAGACTCATTCTGATAAATTCTTTTAAATACCTGCCCCTGGGTGCCACAACTAGAGGTGGGCTGGTTTTTCCCAAGTCTGTCATTCAGGAATCAAGTTCAGCATCACTTGGGGGTTTTTAAAAAAGCAGAGAAGTTGACAGTGACAAAGAGCATCCCAGGCCAATGACGGCTACACTCTGATGGGGACGGACTGCTTATCATCCCACCTAATCTGATGAGTACCTAGCACGTGCTCATTTAGCTATGACCAATCGCGCCAGTCCCAGAGCCCTCAAACAGCTGTCACTCGCTGGAATTCTCTTTCGTGGTTCCGGGGCTGGTGGGCTCAGCTGGGTGCTCTTACGCAGGTCTTTCCTGGGTTTCCAGCCGGTCAGTGGCTGGGGCTAGAGTCACGTTGAAGGCTCCCTCTCCCGTATCTGGTAGATGATGGCTGTCACGTGCGTACAGGACAGGCCTCTGGGTTTGCAGTGTTCAGGGCAAAATGAAAATGTGGGCCTCTCGTTCAGTGATTATTAAGAACTTCAAGAGACTGACAGCAGGGTATTAGACCAAACACAGGGCACACCCAGGCTCGGGGTCCTGGGCCACTTACTCCAGGAGCCACACATCCACGTGGCCCCACCTGCCTGGGTCCACAGGGGTCCACAGCCCAAATGCCTGCCTCCCTGAGGCCTCTCCGGCTGGTGTGGGCTTCCTCACAGCCTGACGGCTGGTCTTAAGCAAGCATGCTGGGCTGCCTGGGTGGCTCAGTGGGTTTAGTGTCTGACCCCTGGTTTCTGCTCAGGTCACCTTCTTCCCTCCTCTCCCTCCGTCACTCCCCTCCCCTGGTCCTTCCTTCGTTTCCTGATTGGAAACAGCCCATCCCGGTCTCTCCTGGGCAGGATTTTAGAACCAAGATGCATGGGGTTTACGGACACTATGATGCTCGGCCATTCAAGGATACCTCGCCCTCCCCAGCTGTCCCATGGGCTCTCACTGGCCAGGTGAGCACTGAGGGTGGGAGAGTGAATCCTGTGACGGGGAGAGGGCATCTGAGGACAGGGATTCGCACGAGGTCCTGAGGAGGAGTCACTGCTTCGGGAGTGTGGAGACCAGCCCCAGGCTCTGACCTGGACGGGCGGAGGTCAGAGGTGGAATCAGTAACACACATCACCAGGCAGGGCAGCCACCATGTGTCCTGAGCGCCCCCTAGAGGCAGCCTGAAGTGTGTCCACTTGAGAAGCAAGGGCTCTAGCCAGGTCACTCCTGTTTCCCAGCCCCCGGGGCCCACGGGTTTCAGAAGTCTGAATTTCTCAGATTTTCGGAGAGTCATACGGTATACATATGCTCCACGTTCTCCTACAAGCTCAGCAAAGCACATTTCTATTTCCGCAGGAAGACCTCTGAGTTCTCAACCAAGTAAGACAGAGACTAAGCCGCCTCATGCCGGTCAGGGGAGGTTCAGTCACTCAGTGGGTTGGGGGGCCAGGGGAGCCTCGCCCCACAGTGGAGGGGGCAGGCTTCCAGAATAATTCTCTCTAAAGGCGGTGAACCAAGTACGACCCCCAGCGAGGATTTGGGTCCAAATCCACGGCTCCCAAGCCGTGTGACCTCAGGAAATCTGTGCCTCAGGTTCCTTCCCTGCAAAGTAGGGCTAAGAGCAGGAGCCCCCCATAGGGTTGTGGTGAGTACTAGGCAAAGAGAGCTCCAGGGAGCTCTTAGAAAGTGCTCGATCCTCGTTGCTGCCCAGAGTATTACTGATACTATTGCTGTGCCGATGACTATTACCATCCAGAGCACTCAGACCACCATACGGAGCCAGAGGAGAGACGAGGAGGAGGAGAGCACGGAACACTCTGCTGAGGAGGACCCCGTGGAGGACCTCAGGGGACAGGGGCGGGCACCCCAGCAATAGGACCACAGCTCCCCTGTCAGAAAGACAGAGGCTGACCCCGGGTGCTCAGGGCTGGGGTGGGCTGGAGGCTCTGCTGGGTCCCCACCCTGGGTGAGTCCCGTGTCCTCCGAGTCTCTGTTTCCTCATCTGTGCAGGGACAATCTCGCTCACTGACAAGTTACTCTGGGGATCCACAGGCCTAGCCTCTGTGATACACTATTGGTGCTCAATAAATGCGGGGTGCCTCTTAACCTGAATCGTGCTGGGTCTCACTTCCCACCTTATGGCCTGGGGACTCGGATTTTTGAGCCCTTGCTGATTCTGAGAACAGGGTAGATTCATCTCCCAGGGATGCTTCAACAAAGCACGGTGAACTCGGGGCTCAAACAGCATGAAGTTCCGCTCTCATGGCTCTGGGGGCCTGACGTCTGAGTTCAAGATGCCGGCAGAGTGGGCAGCTGCTGAGGCCGTAGGGAGCAGGTGCTCTGGGCCACTCCCTTAGTCTTCAGAGCCTACTGGCCATCTTTGGCCTCCCTTGGCTTAGATCTCTGTCTTCATGCTCACATGGCATCCTCCCCGTGCGCGTGTCTGGGTCCAAATTCCCTCTCTTTATAAAGACACCAGCCTTATTGGAGTAATAGACCCAGGGTGACCTCATCCTAACTAATTATATCTACAAAGACTCTATTTCCAAATAAGGCCACATTGTGAGGCAATGGGAATTATGACTTCAACATAGGAGTTGTGGGGGGACATGAGTCACCCCTAAGACATGGCCATGATATCCGGGGATAATCCTGGGACCAGGGACACATCGCACAAGTTTAGGGAGGTGGAGGGTTGACGAAGGTGAAAGAAGGAGGTGAGGACCATGATTTTCCTAACAAAGTGGGGAACACAAAGCCTTCATGGGATCATTGCGGGACGAACAGCGCCAAATCCGGCTCCATGGCACCTCCTCAGGGAAGTCCACCCTGATTCTACCAGGGAGAACACTCATTCCAAAACTAACTGAAACATTCTGTATTTTCTATATAATAGACAATTGGTAAAAACAATGTGTAGATTATATCTTACACGGAGTCACATCTTATACTATATATTGTATCTCATACTTTTATACGCCTATGTATGTGCGCACACACACACACACACACACAAATGTACATCTTCCTCAACCTCAGCTGTGTCCAAACCCCAGATGGCCTTGCTTATTCACCTGGCGGGCTGGAGCCCGGGGGGGCACCTGGTACACAGTAGGCACTCATCCCTTCTGGCTCTGACCCCAGTGCCCCCAACGCACGGATGGTTCCTAATTCCAGGGCTGCACTCGGCCAGAGCCTTCCTTGCCACCATCTGTGTGGATGGTCACTTGGGAAGCCGCAGGAAAGTTCAGAGCGTCTCTCTTTTGGGGCCCCAGAGGCGGAGGGGGGTTGGATGGGGCTGGAAGGAGCATGACTGGGGGCTCTCTGCACCACTGGACTTGGATGGCCCCCCTCCCCGGGTACGTTTCGCTGCTTCTCCCCTCCTCACAGAGGGGGAGCTCACCCACCGCGTGCCAGGGCAACTTCCGCAGGTGTCCGCGTGCAGAGAGAACGCACGGGCCCGGCCACCGGCGGGAAGGACCGGCCTGGTGAGTGGGCGCCTCGTCCAGGCACAGCGAGACGGGGGGCCGCTGCTGCAGGGCAGTGGGGCTGCGGGGCGCAGGAGCGCGGCGGGCACCGTGGTGAACACGCAGGAGGGCCGCTGCGGGCAGTGCTCCGACGGTTCAAGGGGAAACCCCACTCGGGGAAGGCACTGGCCTCCTGATTCAGGCGTGGAGGGGACAGGCCGCACCCTGCAAACGGCCAGGCCGGCCAAGGACGCGGCGGACGGTGCCCACGGGCTGGAGGAATCCACACCACCAGCGCCTACACTACCCAACTCAGCCGGACTCAGTGTGGCCCCCAGCGAAGTCCAAGGCAGCTTCCAGGGACACAACTTACAACCCAAAGGCCGTGGAGCCCGAGGAGCCCCACGGCCCAAGCAGAGAGCGGAGACCCACAGGCTGGAGCCTCCTGCTCCCGCGCGAACCGCATGCCCGAACCGAGCGCACAGCCCGTGCGGCAGGCCCAGGTCACCGGGGACCCACGAGGCACGGTGCCGCGCCCACGGGCCCATCGCCACAGCCACGCGGGACGCGCAGTCCCGCCGTCGCCGCGGCCACCAACCGAGCCTGCAAGCTCCGCACCGGGCGCGTCCCCGCGCAGCCAATTCACGCGCCAGGCGGCCCGACTGGGCATGCGCGGGATGCTGCCCCCCGCCCCAAGCATCCTCCCCTCCCCCACCCCCGCGTCCTCCCCTCCTCCCCACCGCGTCCTCGCCGCCTCCTCCTCCAGTGTCCTCCTCTCCTCCTCCCACGCCCTCGCCTGCTTCTCCTCCCGCGTCCTCCTCTCCTCACCTCCTCCTTCTGCGCCCTCGCCTTCTCCTCCCTCCGCGTCCTCGCCTCCTCAGCTTCCTCACCATCTCCGGTCAGCCGGCACGTGGAGACAGTGTGGGGCGGGAACACGCATGCGCCCTGCAGGGCGGCAGGGGAGGCTCGGCTGCCCCCTGCCGGCCCTCCGGGGCAGTGCAGGACGCCCAGCCACAGCTCCGTGTCCCGTCAGGCATGCGGATTCCCCCAGGTGCTGAAATTCAAACCGCAGGGACCCGAAGACCCCAAGCCTTATCCAAAGACGGTTAAGGGACAATTACTTGGAAACCGTAGAGAAGGGCATGAATGCAGCTACAACTTCACAACGTACACCAAAATTCACTCAAAACTGCCCACTGCTACATTTCGAATGCAAATCCGTAACTGTTCTAGAATAAATACACAAGACAGTCTGCGGGACGTCGGGTCTGGTGACGAGTCCTAACACAAAACGCCGAAAGACGACCCCCCCCCCCCCAACACACACACATCAGTGATGTGTGCGTTGTAAAATTAAGCCTCCCACTCCTTGGAAGACCTTGTTCGGGGAACCAGAAGACGAGCCACAGATGGAGAGAAAATATTTGCAAAATCCATGTCGACAAAGGATTTGTATTCAAAATATGCAAAGAACTCCCATCACTCCACAGTAAGGAGACAGCCCACCCCAACCAAAGCGGGCACAGGTCTGAACAGACACCTCGGCAGAGAAGACAGAGGTCAAGTGCGATACCAGCCAACAGAGGCCCTCATCACGCATTAGGGAATCACGGGTTAGAACAGCAACGAGCTAGCATGTCTCCCTTTCAGAACGCTGAACGCCGAAACAATGACATGGACGGGACCCGTCGCGGGAGGATAAGGCACAGGGATGCTTCTGTTAAAATACAAAATTCAGCCAAATAAATTAGAGGACCTGGTTGGCCTTATTAAGCAACTCATAAATTGGGCAGCAGCACCCTCTCCAGGAAACAGAGGGGGGACCCCTCAGGGCTTCCATGAAGTCAGGGGGAGAAAGGTTACAAACCACAGGGAGCACCATTTGAAAGCCTCCCTGTTTAAATTTTATATTTAGTTTTGTGAATCTTGAATAAGAGGCTTTAAATTTATTCCTACAAAACCGACACAGAAAAGTCCAGTCTTTTTTTTTTTTTTTTTTTTTTCCTGTGTTTCATAGGTTAGCCTCCTGCAGGCACAGCTCCCTGGTTTATTTCGTGGGGATAATGAAGGCAAGAGCAGCAGCGAGAAGCCGTCTGTGCTTTGTGAATACCACGTTTGGTTCTCACAGGACCATGTGGGATAGGCGCTATGTTCCTTCCCATTTTACAGATGTAGACACCGAGGCTCAGAACGATTTGGTAGTTGGTAGGGAGGTGGAACGGGACCTGGCCTCTCTCCTGGGGCTACCCTGCCCTACCCTGTGGTCTTTTGCGTCTCTGTTGCCCTAAGGGGATCCTTCCCCTTCTGGATAGTTGCCTCTGAATCCCACCCTTGGCCTGTTGCTGCTGGAGCTCCCTCCACCCCCACCCCGAGCACAAGAGGAAGAGTCAGAGCGGAAAGCCTGGGCTTGGGAGCACCCACCACCCACCTCTATGTTCAGCTAACAGGGGAGTGGTGTTCTCCAGACGGGGTGGGAGACCTGGGGACATGGAGGTCAGGCCCTCACCCCAGGGAGCACACCCCATCTTGCCCCTGAGCCCCCCTCGGGCTGAGGACCGACCCTTCCCTCAGGCCCTTCACGGCTCCCCAGATACACCTCCCTCATCCATTTAGGCCAGAGATTTAGAACATGGCTACTGACTTCTTACAATCCGAAAGAGAGAAAAGCCCCAACATTTCACAAAACACATCTGTCCAACCACACAGGAAAGGACTGATAAAGGCACCCCGCTCCTGCCAGGTAGGGGATGCCACCGAGAGTCCCCACCCCAAGCCCCCAAAACACAGGAGGGGGGCAGCTGGGGCTCAGAGGATCGGGATTCCAGCCAGAAGGGGTGTCAGACATCCTGCAGGCCGGGACTGTGGTCCCGTCCACGGTCGCCTCTCCGCCAGCACAGACGCCCTTTCACGCCCCTGAGAAGATGGCCAATTCTCCAAGAAGGCCTCACCCATAGGTGAAAACAAAAATTATACAGAACAGCTTTTTTTTTTTTTTAAAGATAATTTATTTAAGTTTCCACCTTCTGACAACCTGAGGTGCAATATAGAGACATAGATTTTTTTTTTTCACAGGAAACAGTTTTGATTTTAGCACTGTTCTGAGATCTGCCACCTTGAAACTTCCTCAGCCTTAAAATACTGTTTGCATGACGTCACCAGGTGGGACACGGGATTGCATAAGGGGCACACCAACACCTGCATCACGGAACCCTACTTTGGGGCTACTAAAGGCAAGGTCTGGGTGGGGCAACGGCAAATGTGGGGTCCAAGACCGGCTGGCTGAAGGAGAGAACGCATTAATGCAGACGTGTAAACCATCCCCGAGGGCCCCAGCAGAGGCTGCAGTTTGTAACAGGCCTTGTTCCAACACATTAACATAGTTGAAGGGGATCTATGTCTAATGTCTGAATTTCTAGCATTTCCTAATGTTCAAAGGTTTGGCTTGTCTTCTTTAAGATGCCTTAAGGAAGGGAGAGACCCAGGCTCGCTCACGACCTTGCGGAGGAAGCTAACCCACGCCGTCTCTGGCACAGGAGAGACCAGGACCACACCTGTGTCAGCGCTGGGGGACAACGCCCGCAGCGCCTTCTTCCCGTTTTCACAAGCACATGTCCAGGACCAAGGAGGGAATAGGTACAGCCCCCACCCCCCAATTCTAGGACTGACCCGTGGCTCAAGGGGGATTTACCAACAGGCAGTCTCTTTAGCTAAAGTGCAGACCTCTTTGGGGGAAGCTCGGGAGGGATCCAGGTGGCGGTGGGCTCTGCTCAGACTCCACCTTGTCAAAGCCTTGGAGTCTGGGGCTTATGAGGATCTGGGATCCCCTCCATCTTCGGACACCCCGTGGCAGGTGTGTGTGGAAGAGACAGGAAGATGGGCAAACCCAGACCTACTGATGCTTTTCTGGAAATGATAAGTTTATCCATTTCCATTAGTAACCAAGAGCCCTGCACTGAGAACGCTTCCCCAGTTGAATCTGAGGGACACGGGAGTTGGCTGGACACAGCTGGGGTGGGGCTCCATTCCTGAGCTCTGGTGGACTCGGGAAGCACAGGCCAGCGCCCTGGGAACAGAGCACCCCAGCTCCCATGGGACCCTTCCATCCCTCCCCAAAGAGCATGAAACTCTCTGCCCCAGGGACAGCAAGGGACACCAATGAGGTCCCACCAGAGCCTGCCATGGAGGACGGTCTTAGCATCGAGCATATTTGCTGAAGGGGAACAATCTGAAAATGACCCATGCATTTGTTATCTGGTCAGTCAGCACGCCCCTATTCCCAGCCCCACGACGACAAGGACGCAGGACACCGGTGGCCTGTGTGGCTTTGCCTGGGGTCTGAACATTGCACATTGCTCAACTAGGGGTGCTTCCAGCCCATCCAGTTCCCTTTTTGGTGAAACTCATCCCCGAGGGTCATAAGGAATAAATGACTTATAGGGAAGCTAGGGGAGGCAGCAGAGACATGAGAGCGAGGGGGCTGGGAGGCTGGGGGGCACGAGGGACCCCCATCCAGCAGCTAGTCCTTGACTGAAGACAGGGAGAGAAGAGAGCAGTCTGGACTGGTCTGAGCACTGTAACCCCCTCTCCGCAGGCTGGGGCCGGGCCTCCCTGCTCTGGACAGACTCTCCTTCCCAACCTTCCTCACTGTTTCAGGAAAAGGGCTCCCCCCCGCAAGCCTCCACCCCGCTGCCAGGAGTCTGCAGTTTTAGGTCATCTGGTAATAATGCTGATGGGCCCACCAGTCAGCCAATGGTGAGGTTGCTGGAGTGTGCCGGAGGGTCCAGCCTGCAGCTTGAGGCCTGGACAGGCAGTCATGGGCCAACCTGCCCCCAGGTGGCTTCTTGGCTCACCCGAACATCCCAGATTTTAATTTGGGTACAGAACTCAGGAAATGGGACTCTTTCTGGTCCTCCTTTTGGTAACGTAAGAACTTAGCAAACCTTCCCCCTTTTTTTGGCAACAGGAAATCATAGTTCACTCCATGTTACTGTACAAGTAACTTAGGGTATCAGAATCCGGTTCTCCTACCTTTGGTTCAACACACATGCTCACACACAAGGCAGATGCAATCCAAATTATTAACGTGCCCACCCCCCACCTACCGATATTGCTAAAATGAAAACAACAGCTAAACACATACAGGGCCGCATCTTGAGGTACCTGCGTGGTTCAGTCAGTTAAGCATCTGACTCCTGATTTTGGGTCAGGTGATGATCTCAAGGTTGTGAGATCGAGCCCTGCCTCAGGCTCCGCACTGGGCGTGGGGTCTGCCTGGGATTCTCTCTCTCCCTCAGCGCCTGGCCCACCTTCAAAAGCTGCAACTCAACATCATCCTTTTTGTCAAGCAGGGAACTTTTTATTTGAGAGGCTTGTCTGTCCAGGCTCACTGTGATGTGCACAGCCCTGGCGGACAGCTAGCAGAAAGTCCGAACCACCCGTGATGAAGGGCGAGACTTCAGAGCTCCTGGCTTTGGACACTCCACCTACCGGGATGGGAAGCTCTCTTCTAGGATACGATCTGACCCTTCCTGCATTGAGTCTACGGTTCCTGAGTTTACAGGAAGGGCTCGCAGAGCTCTCATACCAACGTGTCCATGTGTGTGCAGCAGACGGAGACTTCTCCACACTCTGGACCTCTGAGAGTGTCCCCTGTCAGTCTGCTCTGGCCGGGCCCTCAAGGGGAGAGACTGTGTCACAGGGACCCAGGGCATCTCAGCAGGGCAAGCTGCCAGCCTTCTTTCCAGGGACGGGACTCCTCCAAATGACAGTGGCCAGAGGCATCGAGGAGGGCCCAGGTCTCGGCACGGTCTGAGCCAACTGGGCAGCCCAACCCCACTCTGCCAGCCACATCCAGAAGAACAAGCAATGGGAGGGGAGAAAACCCCAAGCGGTCCTTGCTTCCACCTTCAAATGCTATTTCAGGAGGCCTACAGGGGGGAATCAACCTCTCAAGATCATTTTCGAAGTTAAAGTGCTTGGAAAAGCCCAAAGAAATCAAAGGGGTGTTTCCTTCCAAAGGCCCAGGAGTCCTGCTGGCTCCGCCCCAGGGGGGAAAGGGCAGGGCCTTGCTCCCGGGCACTCTGGAGAAAGCCTCAGAACCCACTCCACTCCCTCCAGAAACCAGAATCAGACTTCTATACAAAACTCATATATACAAGGATAAGTCTTTGGGGCACCTTACGAAAAAGTTGTAACGCATTTCAACTAACTACTGAGATGTGACTAATAAAGCCAAAGACGCCAAAGCTGAAGGGAGAGCCTTGCAGGGGACTCGGACAGACCCCCTCCCCCATGCAGCCTTGATTCTACAGAGGGGGAGGGGAGCACAACGGATTCAGGGGTCACGGTTGAGTGTTTCAGGAGGGGACGCATTATCCGACAGAAGCATTGGAGGAGGGGCCCACATACCCCTTAATTTGACCTTATTTGTCTGAAATGCCATCGGTAGAGACATGCACTGTCCCTGGGCTCAACACTGGCCTGGGGTTGGGGGGGGGACCTCCGGTCTGTGAAACCTGCCCCAGCAACACAGCTGTGCATTGTGTGGTGACATCGCCAGACAGGCTGACTTCTCTCTCTCTCTCTCTCTCTCTCTCTCTCACACACACACACACACACACACACACACACACACGAACGATACCGTTATAAAAATAAGCTGAGTTTCAGGATCCAGCCTTTGGACACCAGCCCACTCCCATCACACCAAGCTTCACGTCGCCTCTCCGGTCCTCACCGAGACATGCAGCTACAGCTCCGTCACTGCCCGCTTGTCTCTGGAATGTTCCAGGGAGGCATCCCAGGACGGAAAGCGTTCCAGCACTGGCCGGGTCAGTGACCACCAGGCATGGTTTTGCTGTTCTCCAGGGCAGACCGTGCTGTAATGACTGAGAGGTGAGGAGGCAGAGAGGGGAAACAGGAGCAGGGATGTGGGGAAAGGAGAGTGTCCACGGGCCTACTTTCAAGGTCAGTGCCCAAGTGCAAGGGGCAGAGGCAGAGGGAAGTGGACGGACGGGAAGTATTCATGCCAGAGGAGCCACATGCTGGCTGCTTGCTGTCACACGTCCATCCCCTCGGGCTGGCATAGACCCCAAGAGAAAAGCCAGGGTTCCTGGGCACCAGAAGCGGGACAAGGGGGTATCTGCCGAGTGTGCAGGAAAGCGGTCAGCCAGTGAGGGGCGAGGGGGCAGAGGTGCCTTCCCATGGCTGCTGGGGGGCAGGGTCCCCAGGCCTCATGGCCACTCCACACACGAGCCTCACGCCATTGCCCCCAGAAGCCACTTCTGCCCGGCTGTCCGTGACATGGACACAGATTTTTTCCGTCTTCCTTGAAATACCGAACAGCAAGGGTGGTTGTTTTGCAGCGACTGAAGAGACTTCTCTTGTCGGCGCCTCTTGGTGGGGCAGGCATCCCGCGCCCCTCCCAGGAAGGACGTGGGGGACCCTCTCTGCGTCATAAGGAGCCATGCGGGCAGCGCATTGCAGGTGCTCTGACACCGCCACCTCTGGGCTGGTGTGACTCCCAAGCGACCACGCAGATCTCACGAGGACTCCAGGACGCTCACACCCCTTGCTGGGCCTTCTGCGGCCGGGAAGGAGGTCCTCGGCACCAGGCTCTCTCCTTCCCTAAAATAGCCAAGTGTCTCTTTCCTCTTAGCGGTTCCTATGACTCTGATTCCTGTCACACGGTGGGCAGCTGGCACAGAGCCGGCAGAAGCCATGGACTGACCTGGCCTGCCCGGGGAGGCCCATTGCCCCCTCCGCAAGGCCGTGGCTCAGCAGGAGCCCTGACTGGGGGAGCACCCCCACTCCATCCCGCTGAACAAGAGGGTCCCGGACTGTCACCCGCGTCACTGGCGCATGCCAGCTCCTGATGCCCCCATCTGCATTCCCACGTGCACCTCACACCCTCCCTCTCCTGCAGGCGGCTGCAGCAGGCACTGCCCGGGGCCCTGGTGTCCTTCCTCCTCCTCCTGCTTGGTCCTGTGTTGTGGCCCTGACACCCAGGAGCAGGGGCGATCACCTTGGTTTTAGCCGTGTAATCCCAGAGACCCTTTGGCACGCGGATGGGGGGAGCAGACAAGGCAGAAGGGAGGTGGGGAGACGGGCAACCAGATTCTTCTAACCGCTAGTTCTAGGGCAGCGTGGAGCGGCTCTGGGTGCTTCCGAGGTCATGCAGGGTCATCAGGTAGGGTGACAGCCAGTCGCTGGCCCAGGAGAGGGGTGTGCACCCTCAGTCCTCCTGGAGGGTGCTCCGGGCGACCTCCCATGGCCTGCCTACTCAATGGCCATCTGCTCAATGTGGTCGCTCAGCAGCTTGTACTGCTCTGGAAAAGAAAACAGCGTTAATTCTTGGAAGAAAGATGTCCACACCGACGGGTAGGCCCTGCTCTTGGCATGTGGGCAGTAACAAAGCATGACCTCAGTGGGAATGGCAGCGTCACCAGGAACACCAAGCCATGAGCCGCTAGCATGCTGCCCGCCTGGCCCCTGGAACTGGGCTCCCTGGAAATGAGACACGTGTTTTTATGGAAAGAACGTGAAGCCCAGAGAAGGCTCCGTGCCGATGGACGAACCGTGCCAAGGGAGCCAGGCCTGAGTCCTATAGGGACTGAGGGCCGCAGGGCAGGCCAGGGCACAGTGTCTTGCCCAGTGCTGTGGGGCTGATGGGCGTGTTCTGAGATTTTCCGGGGGAGCACCGGGCACTCTCCTACCTTCTGAGTCCACTCTTCTGTGGCCCCTCTTAATTTGGCACAGGATGGAGGATTTTTAAAAAAGATTTATTTGAGAGAGAGAAAATGCAAGCAGTGGCAGGGGAGGGAAAGGGGCAGAGGGAGAGAGAGAATCCCAAGCCGACTCCCCGCTTTTTTTTTTAAAGACCACTGTGTCCATCCAAATGTGTATTTAAGCGGAAGCCTTTTTAGACCACGAGGAAAGCCGTTTCGTAGCAGGTGGGATGCCACGTAAAGGCCGGCTCTAACAGAGTAGGGGGCGGATATGTGACCTATCCTCTCTCGCTAGAGAAGTCAGAGACTCTAGAGAAATGCCACAGCCCCTACACCCATCACGGCAGTGTGGTTCAAGAAACAGAGCAGGCCACTTAGAAGCAAGGGCAACTGATGGCAGAGCTTCAAGTTCAGAGTCTGAGCGCCCAGGCCCATCTTCGCCTTTGGCCCCGCTTGGAAACACGGGGGCGGGGAAGCTCCCCAACCCCAGCGTGCCACACCCCACCCCGGCAAATGCTGCCTAGCAGGAAAGGCCTTTAAATGCAATGGGAAGCGTCCCGTGCATGTAGGGAGATGGGAAGAGCGGAAGGGTGAGGCTGCCCGACAGTTCAGCATCACGTTTCTAATGAACACCACGGCAATCCTTGGAGTGGGGTGGGGTGGGGCAGAGCACTGGTTCCCCAGCCCGAGCCCTGGCCGCCTCTGGTCGCCGCTCACCTTCGTCCAGATTGCCGATCACGGCCTGCTTCTTCAGGAAATCATTACACAGCTTCTTGCTGAGCCCGAATGCCAGCATGTTGTGAGTGAACGTGCTGGAGGAAAAGACACCCATGAGCGGCTGCCCTTCCTTCTCTCTGAGAGGAGAGGAGGGCGGGGGGGTTGGACCCGCCTGGAGCAGGGAGAAGCGGAAACAAAGGGCAGTCGCCTTGGCCCAGGGCTACTCTTGCTGTGCAACTGCCCACCACGGGGGGCACGAGGCGTGTTTGTTGGGAACCGGAAGCCGGGTCAAACATCATTAACTGCGGGCTTGTGGGCTGCGTGAGAACACAGGGCAACAATGACACAGAGATGTGTGATGCTGTCAGGGACGGCTCCCCGCTGCCATGCCCCGCAGGTCAGGCTGGAAGGTCTCCTTGGCGGGGGGCCTCTTGTCACCATATCCGGGCATCGGTGTTCCCCTCTGCCCTGCACCAGGACAGGCCTTCCGGCAGGAGAACCCCGCACCGCCCCACTCGGTCGGGGCCCCCAGGGTGGGGTCGTCGTCCGTGCTCTCACCCCAGCTGCCCGAAGGTGATGTTCTCATTGAACCGTAGACTGTCGTTGCGTTCCTCTTGGGTCATGTGGCACCACTTCTCCCTGCAAGCACAGGTGACAGGAGAGGGTTCCCGAATGCCGTCACACTCCCCTGCCTCTCACCCCCCCTGCTCTGATCTACAGGGGGCCCCCGACACACAGTGGGGAGCACCTCCCCCAGAGAGCTGTTGGATCTGCTCCTCCACAAAGCCTGCCCAGGGTTCTGCCACTCTGCCTCACAGGCCCAAACACGAACTCCATCACTCCGTCCTTCCTGAGACGAGGAGATCCGAAAGCTCATATGCTTCCTACTGACCCAGCAATGATGTGTGTGCTCAGTGGCTGCCCAGAACATTCTCTAGGGGACAAGGACACCATCCCCCGTGTCCTTCTCTGTGGGTCACAGATGGGAGGTCCTGACGCCACTGGGGAGGCAGGATGACCTGCAGAGAGGACAGGGTCCCCCTGGCGTCCCAGGGGAGGGGGAGCTGAGAACCCATCCAGGAGGTCTCTCGGGCTGGCGCTCCCGCTGCAGGTCTCACGGGCTCTTTGGAGGGGGCAGCGTGTCAGCCTCTTGTGGCAGGGAGGCCCAGGGAGCGGGGAGCTTGGCCGTGCTGAGGGCCACTGGCCCGTCAGGCTGGATCTTCGCCCGGCTGTACTTCCCGGCCCTGACTTCCTCAGAGGCCCAGGTTCATGCACTGCGCCCCTCCCCAGAGCACAAGGATGAGACCCCGATCTCCCCAAAGGTCCCCGTGCAGATGGCACAAGGCCTTAGCACAAAGTGCAGAAACGCCAAGAGAAAGCAACACGGTCTGTGGGCGGCTGCCCGGGCAGGACTCTGAAGCCCGACTGTCCTCCCTGGAGAGGGACACGAGCCCGCACGGCTCTGGGGCGGGGACGCTGCTCTCCAAGCCCTGTGAGCTGTGTGTCCTGATGGAAAGCCGCCTCCAGCCACTCGCTGTGGGTGTGGTGGCCCCCTCCCCTGGGAGAGCACCCCTGTCTCGAGCACATTCCCGGCCCCTCCGTGTCTCCCTGAGAAGCGGGCTCCTTGCAGGGGCAAATACAGGTGTGGAGGAGATGCTTGCTTAAGCCCACTGCCCCTTCAAGATTATGCTCTGGGTGATGAGTCTGACTAAAGGTTAGAGAGAGAGAAGAGACGAGGGAGAGACAAGGCAGAGTGAGGGAGTGAAGAAGTCAAAGGAAGAGAAAAAGAACCAACATCAAACCTTAACTGCTCCCCGCCCGCCGGGCCCAGGGCCACTCGTGCTGCTGTGGCTTAGCGGAAGGCCACAGGACACCGGGGACAGGTAGCATTCCCAGCCTCCTCCTGCCGATGACAGGACGCCCGTGAGATACCCAGAGCATGCTTCCAGGCATGACACTAATCCCATCCCATTTTCCTTCTCACCCTCTTTCCTGCAGTGGTTGTCCGGGCACATGAATCCCCATACCACCATCTGGCCTGCTGTGTACAGTTGTGCAGGTTGTGCAATGCACAACCCCACACCACGTGGGAATGACCAGCTACCCTAACCCTCCTGACCTGGATGAGGAGATTCTCTTGGCTGTGGCAAGTCCTAGAAGTGGGGCATTTAATCTGACCTTCGAAGAAAGGCGTGGAAGGCCGCTGGCACTTAGCAGGTCAGGTGCTGCCTGCCATCCAATCAGTTCCTGAAAACTGAGATCAATGCCCAATACCAGGCACGGTCTAATCCCACACAGACTGCAGGATGTGTGTCTACACTGCCACAGTGGGAACTGGATTGTGAGCAACAGATGCCTTTGGAAACGGAGGCCTTTCTGCCTCTGAGTATCACCAACCGGGCTTACTGAAGAGGAGAAATGATGCTGGAGGCACGAGGTTGCCCAGGGATCCAGAGCCCACCCTCGCACCCCAGTCTCAGAGGAACATTCGCCCTTCATCCGGCTGAGGCTGGGAGCATGTGTGGGTGTCCCAGGGGGCAGGTCTGAGATGTGTGTGGTCAGACCACATCTGCTCTGGGGCACAGAGTGAGGCCCAGAGGCCGGCACCCCCTTGTGGGCTTGGTGCTGACGGCTTGGAGGCGGCTGTGATGCTTCAGCTCTCCCGGGCCTCAGCCACTGGTACCAGGCAGCCCTGCCCCTTGGAGGTTGTGGTGAGTCATGCTCCCCAAGACACTGTGGGGACGCGGGAGCTTTGTACTAAAGGCCACGTCCTTATGCCTAAATGCTCCTTTTATAGCCATAATAAGGCTGTGTAAGAAACAAGATCTCTCATAAACAATAAGCACTAAAAATATAACACTGATGAAAGGAAGCGTGCTTTAGGAAATGTCCGGCGAAAACAATCACTGTACCAGAAACTGTATTGTGAGTAGGCAGGCCTTGAGCTACCAAAATGTATTACAAAAGATACCCAACAAATAAATAAAATCTTTAAAAAAAAAAAAAAAGATACCCAGCAAATACAAAGGTCAAATGATGAGATTCAGACCCCACTGGGGGCTCCAAGAAAACAGCCTGTTCCAGGCCCTTCTCTCCGGGGGGCACCCTCACACACAAACACACACACACACACACATGCGCGTGCACAGGCTCCACACCAGGCCATGGCTGGCAAGGCGGGGGGCAGCGGTCTTCCTACCTGAACCCCAGGCCTGTCGCAGGGTCAGGGGAGGGTCTGCCAGACCCCTACACACGTCGGCACCTGGCTGACAGAGCCAGATTCTCTGTGCCCCCCCCCCGCCGCCCCCATGGCTTCATGCCACGACCAGATTACCAAGCGTGTAGTCAAGGGGGTGGGTTCGAGGCCTGCTCTGGAGGGGCTGGAGTGGCCAGTGGAACTCACACCAGGCCCTGCAGGGTCTCAAGTGCCTTCTATATGTCCTGTTCCTGGTGCTCTGCCCTTGGCGAGACCCCACCTGCCACCGGCCTGTCCCAGCGCGGGGCTTGCCCCGGGCGGCGGTGCTAAGCTGCCCCTGCGTTCGGGCTCTGCCTCCTGCAGCAGCTTGCGCGCGGCTCCCACCCTGAGGTGGCCCTGGCGGGGACCCCCGGCCCCGTAACATGAACAAAGTCACGTGGACACACACCTCTTCTTCTCCTCCTCTCCAGCATCCCCTCTGGAGCGGCAGCAGAAACAGGTAAACAGAGGAACATGTCAAAGTCATGCAAGATATGTGGATGGAAAAAAGAGAACAGCGAGAGAGGAGCGTTATTACAGGCAGAAACAGAGAGACGGAGAGAGACGGGGTACTCGAGACCGTTCATCTGCTAGGAGCCCGACAGCTACGTAAGCAGCAGGAGGAAACCCCATTCGCCTACAAGCATCGAAGCGCTTCCTTCAGTCTGGTTTCCGGCAGAGCATGGGATTCTCTCTAGAATCCCCGGGACGGCTCCGGCATCCTGCCCTCTGCGCACTCCCTCTGCCTCCCTCAGGAGAGGCAGCCACAGTGGACTGCAGGCCGTCCCGCCCGGGGAGGGTGTCACTGCCCCCGACCCGTGCAGACAGGTCGACTGCACTTCCAATCCCCCCAGAGCTGGTGGACCGGCCACACAGCAGGCACCTGCTGTCCCCTGCCAGGGAGAAAGGCTGAGGGGTCTCCCCCTGTTAGAGAAGGAGAGGTTCATGACAGAGAGGGGGTGCCAATAGGGGAGCCAGGACTGGGAGGGCTACTGCCCTTTCCTGCCCAGCCACTCGATACAGTGGGCAGCAACTGTGGTTTGTTGTGGCCAGAGCAGGAAGGACCACCAGCCCTCACTCTGCCCTGTGCTCTGTGTGACCGTTTACAAAGGGGGTCTTCTGATGTGGCAAGACTAGCGTCAGGGAGGCTGGGGGGGGGGTGTCTCAGGCTGCAGACCAGAGCAGTAAGCTGAAGGTAGCAATCGCATCTCCCCAGAGGTTAGCTCTCTCGAGCTGAGTCTATGGCGGCGGCGGCGGGGTGGGGGGCGGGGGGGCAGCTGGCCCTGCATGCCCCGAGTCCTGTGGCCGCGGTTCTTACAGCAATAGGCAGACTCAATCCTTGGGGGTCCTGATGGGTTCATTCTGGGGGAGTGTGCGTTTCAGAGGAGGGTCAGCCCAAGTCATGCCAGAGCCCAGGACAGAAAGCGCTCATGCAAGCCGAGGAACCCCCATCGACCCCCGCCCACGAAGCTGAGCGTGCCCGGGACCCCCCAGGCAGCTCGCCGGGCACTGGGGCCAGAAGGAGCTGAAAAAGAGACGGACGCACCGACTCAGCCGCCGTTCTGCTCTCCTCTGCAGAAACCGGAAAATAAAGCCAGTCCCCGGGCCTCTGCCGCAAGGCAAGGCGGGCCCAGACGCTGCTCCTACCTGGTAGTGGGAGACCGCTTTCTCCTCTCATAGTGGACAGCATCGAAGAAAGCCGCATTCCAGAACCTCAGTGTGTGCCTGGGAGACAGAGCCAAGTGTCAGTCCTCTGCGGGGAGGCTGGGAGGCAGCTCTCAGCACACCGGAGGGATAAGAACACACGGCTTGTGGACACATCGCAGAGAGGCAGAGCAGGGAAGAGGAAAATGGCCAGGTGCCTTTGTCCCAAACCAAGGTGGTTCCCTGGGCTCCTGGCTAAGGGTCATATTTCTCCCAGGAGGAGGGTATGACACGGAGGCAGGTAAAGTCCACATCCATCTGCGGGACATGGAGGAAGGCTGTCTTCCGCTTCTGCACCCCCGCTGGGCCTCCCAGAGGAAGATGGGCGTTTGGGGACACCTGCTGCCCGAGAACAGGGTCTAGTAACATAAACAGGAACCTGGCACGGACAGACCGCGTGCAGAGAACAAACATATTCGTAGGGACACACAAGTAAGAAACGTTCTTCCTAAAGATCAAGGGTCCGCCAACTATGCCACTGTGGCCTTCGAGGGAGGGGCGCATCTGACATCCCTGGGACTCGGGGGCCAGCTCTCTGCCTACTTGGGGGTGAACACAGCATGGCGATGGAGACCCTTTGGAGGGACTAAGGCAGCCCAAACAGTGATCCACAGAGCGAGACAGAGGGCAAGGGCTCCCCCAACCGCCGGCCTCTTACTTTACTCGACCTTCATTCCTAGACATTCGTATAAAATGGCTTTATTGGGATATAATTCACATACCATAAACTCAGTCTTCCAAAGTTCACGATTCAGTGGTTTTTACTATATTCTGAGTTGTGCAACCCGGAGTGCGATCCTCAGAACATTTTCATGCCCCCATAAAGAAACCCTGTCCCCGTGAACAGTCCCTCCCTGACCCCTGCTTCCCGCAGCCCCCAACAACTGCTCAGCTGCTCTGTCTCCAGGGACGGGCCTGTCCCTGACGACAGATGAGGATAAACAGCATCATCTACTACGTGGCCTTTCGTGTCTATCTTGTAATTGTTTCCAGGCTCACCCGTGTCTCAACGGTGAGCATCTCGCCCCTCCTGTGGCCGAAGAAGACCACGTGGTCGGGAGGTATCACATTTTGCAGATCCACACATCACATGTCCCTGCCCGTGGACATCTGGGTGCTTCCCAGCTATGGGCTATTAAATGTGCATGAGTCTTGGCCCAAGTACCTGTTCTCTGTTCCCTCAAGCCCTTGGCTAGGAACGGAACTGCTGGGCTGCAGGCTAACTCTCCGCTAACATTTGGGGGAGCTGCCAGGTTTGCTCGGCCGCTGTCCCCCTTCCCTCCCCGCAGACAGGGTATGCGGGTTCCAGTTTCTCCACATCCTCACCCACACCTGCCACGGTTACCCTTTTCTATTCCAGCTATCCCGGGGGGGGCGCAGTGAGCCCCGGTGGCAAGGGAGCCGCAGGGGCCAGGAGCTCGGGCCCGCAGGTGTGAGGGAGGCCTTACCAGATGGGCTGCTGCTTCAGGTGCGTGTACAGGTAGATCTTCTCCCCCTTCCTTTCTTCCTCTGGGCTGCACACGGTCACTGCGGGAGGGCGACAGACACTGCCCGTGGCTCCAGTTGCCCCCACAGGTTGGCAAACCCCTCAGCGACCCTCCCGGCAGGCACTGCTTCTCCCCAAAGGTTATAGAAACGCAAGGTAGAAATTTCCAGACCACTTGTCCAACACCGCCCGCGGCCGGGAAGGACGCTCCTGCAGCCTGGCTGTGGGGGCTCCTTCTGAGGGAAGGCCCTGGCACGGCCCCCCATGCCCACCAATATGTTCCCTCACTTCCCTGCCTTGAGGAATTTAGCTCCTGAATCCTCTCCCCAGAGAAGAGGCTCCCCGCTGAAATTCCATAGGCAAGTACAGGCCAGGGTGGAGAGAAGTTGGGAGTCACCTAGGACAGAATCTGGTGCCCAGGGGGGTTAGGAGCCTGCTTGGTGAGGCTGCTGGTTACCCAGGGTGGCAGCTGGGGGCGGTCGAAGACCCCTTGGGGGCCTGGCTACGGGACCAGGGGCGCTGCTGTGGCCACAGCCGGACACCTGCTAGGCCAGGAGAGCACTGGGAGACACTCACCTGTCTTCTGTGGCTTCTCCTTGGGCTTGTTCTCATCCTCCCTGGGGGACAGAACCACAGCAGTGACATAACGAACCCCCCCACCCATTTTCTCAGCTCAAAGGAACCGGTCTAACCTGGCTGGAGCATGATTATGTCTCTTAGCGATGGGTACATTTCATGTGGTTTCTTTTGAAAAAGTGTTATGAAGTCGGTGCTATATTTACCAACTGCCAATCTTCCAGGATTAAGGAGATGTGGCAAGGAGGCTCCCTTGCACCATTTTCTCTGATTCCAAAACTGCTTGGACCAGACAAGGAACAAAACCAAGTCTCCCGGCAGGAACCAGCCATCGGAGAGGACAGTGGGGACCGCAGGGAGCCTGGGGTTCTCTGGCTGACATGCCCCCTTTCTTGGGAGGTTTGGCTTCAACACCCCGTTCTCAAGCACCCGGTCCCAGAAGGCTCCTGATCTCCTGCCACAAAACGGCTGTCCTGGGGGACGGGGGTCTTTCCCCTGCCTACCTGGTTCCGTTCACACAAGCTTTCACCACACTTCCGGGAGGAAGAGCCAGGGAGGAGCTGTGATTCCCCTCCTGCCCGCTGACAGTTTCCACATGCTCCCCCCATCAGTCCTAGAAGACCCCGGCCCCCAGGACATCCCTGTCTGTCAGCCAACCCACCAGCATGTGTGAACCCCAGAGAACTCTGGGGAGTCACGCAGGGCTTGCAGCTGTGCTGCGGGCCCCAAAGGTCACCCAGGGTGGCCAAGTGGATGCTTTCATGGCCAGCCCACGGCCTCCCTGTCACCGTCACTGGCAGGTGGCATGTGGCCTCAGCCCTCGGCCACAGCCGCCCCTCCCCCCACAGTCCACCTGCTGACACGTACTCGTGTTTCCTGGCCAGGGGTCCCTTCAGCTTGGTCTCCAGTCCCCCAAAGAAGCCCTTGACGTTCTCTGTCTTGGCCGATGTGTTCTTCAGCAGCCGCTCAGCGATGTCCTTCTTCTCCGCCAACCAGCTGTTGGCGGACTTCAGGTAGGAGTCGATGCTCCCCGCAGGCTTCTCCTTGGACTCGGAGGGCAGCAGGTGCGGCTTACCTGGAGTGGGGGAGAGGCGGGAGGGGGCAGGAAAGGAACCGCGCTGTGTAGCGGGAACAACAGGACGCCGGAGCCTCTCGGTGGCAGTGGCAACCAGTGAAGGGCCCAAGATGCCAGGGGAAGGTGGAGGGCCAGGCCTCTCGGGCCACAGCTAAGCACCTGCTGCATCTAAGAAGGCAGCCAGGAGCACCCGGACTAATGAAGAAACAGGAGTGGACCCAGCCCTGAAGCCCGAGGACCTGAAGGAGCAACGGACACACGGAGCTCCGCCGCGGCGGCAGAGGCCCAGGGCTAGAGGGGGGCGAGGAGCCTCTCCCTGTGCAGGGAGGAGCCTCTCTGGAGCAGACTCCGGACAGGCTCCGGGCCCCCTGTGGGCCTGAAACTGGACGAGGCGGGAGTGGGCATCCCAGAGAGAACAGTAAGGCCAAAGGCTCTCCCGCAGCTCAAGGCGCCGCCTACAGGTCAGAGTCGCCCTCAAGTCGAGGCGCCCAGACAGGTCAAGACGGGACTGCCGGTCAGAGATACCCTCTTCGGGTGCCTGGGTGACTCAGTCGTTAAGCGTCTGCTTTGGGCTCAGGTCATGATCCCAGAATCCCGGGATAGAGCCCCACACCGGGCTCTTTGCTCAACGGGAACTCTGATTCTCCCTCGGACCCTCCCCCCGTATTCTCTCTCTTGCTCACTGTCTCTCTCAAATAAGTAAGACCTTTAAAAAAATCTTAAAAAAAAAAAAAAAAGATACCCCCTTCAGAGCCTTGCAGGTCAAAGGCCACCCCCCCACCATCAAGGTGCTGAGTGTCCCCTACTAATTTAAGCTGCTGTGGGCACAGATGTGACTCCCACTCCTTCGAGAAGGAGGAGCCATGGTTTGGATGAGGGGTTCCCATCTGACTCAAAGGTCTGGCACGAAGGGCCCATCCAGCGCTAAGGCAGTCTGCCCAGCTGTCACCAGAACTGAGGCACGGGGGGGATGGGCAGTTGGGAGTGTGGGGAGGACAGAGCCAAGCTGCAGAAGACACGGGGTTTGGACACAAGACCAAAACTGTGCAGCCTGAGAGAGGTGGGAAGGGAGGCCGTGCTCACTGCCGCGCTGACCCAGCTCTAGACCACGCGCAGGCCCCCAGCAGCCTTCTGCTTACAGCGGCCTGAACGAGTCCCCAACATCACACCCAAGAAACCTCACGTGGGGAGCCCTCAAGCTCCAATGACCAGAAAGTTCCAGAGCAATGAGCCAGAAGAGCTGTCAGACGTCAGGATGAAGAATGATCTGCCCTTGCTGGAGGGACATCGCTGGCCCACACCAGGGACGCTTTCCACCCCAAGACCCTTAACTACGCCTCCCACACTCTTCAAGGGCCAACCCCGTGTTGTATTTTGCTAAAACGTGAAAGAGAAGTCCTCACATCCAGCAATTCCTGAGTCGCCCACGAAATTGCCCACCAAGTGGACAGCTGCTGGGTGACTTCCTTCCTACCACGGCGAGGCAGCCGCTTGACCCACGCTATGGACCACACCTTCCCCTCCTGTTTCAGGTATCTCTCTCGTTGCACATCTCGCCCTAATCCCAAGTTCTGTTGTTTTCTGGAAGCCTCACAACTGCACCGCTAATGGGGAAGAAACGTCACTTGATGCCATGTTACAAGGGGACAAACCTTGAGTTTCCATGTTTGCCCTCTATGGCACTCGCGTCCCCGGGCCTTACCAATGTGGTAGTAGGTGAAGCACATGGTCATGAGGTTCTTGGCGGGCCCAAAGTCGTCCATCTGATGACACCTAAAATGAAAAGGAAGGCCGGCCAGCTCAAACACCATCCTGCCCACTTTTCTCACTGCAAGCTCCTGAAGCAAGAGCTAAAAATTTTATGAATATGCCCACATTTGGGGCGCCTGGGTGGCTCAGTGGGTTAAAGCTTCTGCTTTCGGCTCAGGTCATGATCTCAGGGTCCTGGGATTGAGCCCAGCATCGGGCTCTCTGCTCAGCCGGGAGCCTGCTTTCCCCTCCTCTCTCTCTTTGCCTACCTCTCTGCCTACTTGTGATCTCTCTGTCAAATAAATAAATAAAATCTTAAAAAAAATATGCCCACATTTATACCTCACTCCCCAGATGCTATGTAGAAGCAATCAAAAAGAATCCCCAACTGCTTATCCTTTTCAGAAAGCTCTATATTTGCCAGGATGTGTGTCATCAACAGTGGTTATTGCTGGGAGGAGGACCACAGGACCGAGGACAGGGTTGTAAAAGGGGGTTTCCTTTCCATTTGAGGTGCTGTGCCTGTCTACTCTGTTCTTCTGTGCTTTTTTTTTTCTGTTTAGTTTCCGACCTTTTTTCTGTTTAGTTTCTAACCTTGTACTAACAAGGTTATTACATTAACCTTGTTTAATGTATTTAATGTTTATTAACAAAAGAAAAGTCAATGCAATATATCTAGACGGTGGGGTCAGGGCCAGTTCTATCTTTGAATATAAAATAATCTAAGGGGGGCCTGGGTGGCTTGGTTGGTTAAGCATCTGCCTTCAGTTCAGGTCACGATCCTGGAGTCCTGGGATCGAGCCCCACGTCAGGCTCCCTGCTCAGCAAGGAGCCTACTTCTCCCTCTGCCTCTGTCCCACCCCCCACTCGTGCTCTCTCTCTCTCTCTCTCTCTCTCTCAAATAACTAAATATAATCTTTAAAAAAAAAACTAATAAAACTTAAAGAACTAAACTCTGCCAATAAAATCATAAAGGACTATAAATAAAAGTAAAAACAGAAGACACTAATAAACTAAAAATTATAAAACTCAAATTTAAAAAATATGTATTTTTAAAAGATTATAAGGTGTTTTTCCTTTTTCTTCCCCCCCACACAGAAATACACATGCTCACTGAGAAATGGGAAGATTCTGTGTTTTGGTTGGGTGGGGATTTGAATTTTATTTTCCTACCCCCCCCCCAATTTTATTGAAGGAAAAAATCAAACTCAGTCCAGAATTAACTATGTTACCACGTGAGACAGGTACCGTCTGCACAATAGGGAAACGTGAGAAATCCTATGATAGGAATGTCTGGAAGCGGAAGTCTCCTCAGGGCCGAGAGTGCTGCACCCAAGACAGCTGTGCCTGTTTGAAACCGACTCCTTCCATGACACTCTCTTGTTCCTCCACCCTTGCCAGCTCCGAGACCCAGAATCCCCCCCACACGAGCCTATCCTCAACATGGGACATTCCGAGCAGGTGCCAGAAAAACAGGGACCCTCCCCTTTATGGTCTTTCTCCTCCAGTCCACGTTCCATGTTTGTGGCGGGGGCAGGGACTAAAGAGGTAAGGAGACATCGAGACACTGGGGAATTAAGAGCTGGTATGTCTCTGCTGCAGGAGAAGGGGAAGGAAAGTAAAGGAGGGGGTTTTCAGGCCTGGAAGGACAAAAGGGACATGGGGACAAACCATGGGACCAGGACCTGCTTCAGGGCCACAATGAGGGGACAAGGGTAAGTGGGGCACAAACAACTATCAGATTGGGGCTTCCTCTTCCCCATCCTTTCCCAATTCTCCTCCAAGTGCCCCCCTCTTCCTCCCATCAGTAAGGCTGCTGTTCCCTTTCCCAAGGCAGAGACACATCCCCTCCTTTCATGCCTGTGTGTGTGTTGGGGCGGGGGTGCTGTCACCTGCTCTGATGCAGGTCCAGCACGTATGATGTGAGTCTAGCCGTCCCAGGGCCCCGGGGCCTCAGGAGGAGAGAGCCCGTGAGTCACACGGCCTGCTTCCCACAGCTACACAGAGGTGGAGGGGGGCCCTTTCATCACCCCCCAGCTTCTACTGTGTTGTCTGTGACAAAAGGTTCCAGCAGGGCCTAATTAGCATGCAGAGCAGGCTGAAGGCATCTGATCGCATCATTAAGTGGGTGGTTATCTAGCTGGAAGTGCTCCACAACAAGAAATCCAGAAAAGGCTGCATCTCCACCACAGGAGGGCAGGGTCAATGGCGTGTCGTCCCCGCCTATCCTGACGGCCCTCGTGGAGGGATCCGCTTACGCCCAGCTGCTGTCCCCTAACCTCCCTTACCGTGGGGGTTGGACCCTAACTTCCTCCCCCAAGAGGCTGGTGCAAGGCCTCTCTGTGGATGCCAGCGGCGGGGGCTGGGGGGTGCGGTTCAGAGCAAGCACGAGCTCATGACTCGCGTGGCTGTTACGACTGGGTTAGTACGGGGCAGGAAAAATGGGGAAGACATGCTTTAGGACAAAGGCTTTGGGCACAGCATCACTTACTCGAACAGGACCACGGCGAAAGACTGCACCAGTCGGTAGAAGGTCGGCTCCGAGACACACTTGGAGTTGCAGCGCTGTGTGGGAATGGGGCAGACACGTCACTGGGCGGGCAGGCGGCTGTCACTCAAAGAGGCGTCAGGCTCACCACGCAACGCACTGCCCGACACAGCTGGGCCGTGAGCCTGGGACTGGAGCAGCCTCCTCTGTGCTAGAGTAACTGGGCCCCCAAGCAGAGCACAAGCCAACATTTTCCTGCAGCTCTTTGAAATTTTAAGAACTAGGAGTCCCACACACTCACCCATACAACAGAGAACGGCCTGGAGGGATGAAACCCCCAGAGGACAACACGGGCCATTTCTGGACAGGAGAGTTTGGGGCCGTTTCTCTATGCGTGCTGACTGGCATTTGCTAATTTCTCTTGGAAAAATAAACTGCGAGGGGCGCCTGGGTGGCTCAGTTGTTAAGCGACTGCCTTCGGCTCAGGTCATGATCCTGGGGTCCTGGGATCGAGCCCCACATCAGGCTCCCTGCTCAGTGGGGAGCCGGCTTCTCCCTCTCCCTCTGCCCCTGCTTGTGTCCCCTCTCTCGCTGTGTCTCTCTCTGCCAAATAAATAAATAAAATCTTTTTAAAAAATTATAGAAAAATAAATTGTGATAAAAATACCTGAAAAAAACAAGAGTTAAAGCTACTTTGCAGAAAAAAAAGAACCTACGAGGTATTTACAAAAAATAATTCTGAACTCGCATGGCTGTCACCATCTACGTTACCTTTGTAAAAGTGAACATTGTGGGTTACTGAATAAAACTACGCATGGACATCGTCCACATGCTCACCCTTCAAAAAGGAACTTTTCTGTAATTGCACAGATTTGCAACTTGTGCAATTACAAATGAGTTTGCTCGCTCATTCTTTCTAGCGGGACAACCAGATGAGCAACTTCCTGTTTCCTGCTATTCTAACAAGGCCTTTTGGGAACATCTTTAAGTAAGTTCTACTCATTTCTCTGCTGGGTTGTTTCCTGGGGCTCTTTTCTTCAGAGTGGGAGCAGCAGAGGTGGCGAGAAGAGGCCACACCAGCTGTGCCTCCCGTCACCGCCCCCTCACCTGGGCGCTCACGTATCGAGCAAACCACTCTCGGCCTTTTCCGTTCTCGCTGCTACAGTACTCTCCAAACTTGGCTTTCTCCTCCTGGTCCAAGTCCTCCCTGAAAGGAGCAGAGCAGGAAAAGCAACTTTCAGTCATCGGCAACAAACACGGCCAGAGTGGGGAAGAGGCAGGAGAGGCAATGGGGAAGAACGGCCCCCAGCCAAGCGTGGACGCCTGGCTTACACCAGCACATCCCACCCTCTGGCGATCCTGGCTGTGTATGTGAGGGATAGAGACTGGGGGGCCCGGGGGTCATCACAGCTGGGGTGAACGGACGCTCACCTGACCTCAAACCACCTCATCGTGGGAGGCGAGCACTCTGTCCCCAGATTTAAAGACAAGATAAAAAAGAAACAGAAGGCTGACGATCAATGAGCTCATGCAATCTTTCGTTTATTTAAGGTTTGGTAGAAAACATCTTGGTCTCATTTATCCCAAAATACCAACACCAGATGAAATTGGGGAATTTGCCAGCCAGTCTGCAGTGATTTCTGAAACGCTCTTGAAAATGCATCCGGCTCAGCTGTCCGGGCCCCATACTGCTGACAGGCAGCCGCAAATACAGATTGGCCTTCCTGACAAATTAGCAGGCTTCTCCGCTTTCTCCCCTTTCATTAACTGGGTGTGCTCAGAGAAAGCTGACTAATTCCAGTGTTAGTCAAACAAAATTAGGAGAGAGCCACATCTACCGCTCTCCCAGAATGCGTGCAAAATCAAACACGAATGCCTTTTGGGATCGTCCCATATAGGGACTATCACGGAACTCTCTTCCCTATTCTAACTGCAAAGAGAAGGGACACACACCTAGAAAAGGCAGACGTCCACCTCGCCAGGTTACAAACAAGGGCCCTTAATCGCTGTAGGAAATACTGGTCTCTTTACATAGTGTCAGCAGGCAGATTTTTCCTACTGCTTTAATTAAATGGGAAAACGGTCCCGTTGGTCCCTGAGCTCCTCACCCTGAAGTGTGGGCACAGAGAGTGTGGAGGTTTGGCTGAAATGCAGAGTCAGACTCAGCAGGTCTGGGTGGGGCCCAAGACTCTGCATTTCTACCAAACTCCCATGATGCGGCAACTGCAGGTCCCCATCCAGGGAATGAGCAGCAAGGCCTTCAGTGACTAGCGTGTGATGGGGATGCAGGACAAGGCTGACATCCGGAACCCAGGAATCTGGATTTGCAGGCTCCCCACCCACATGCTGAAATATTAACAAGAGTTGGTGGGGAGCTGGAGGCCTCCCCACAGACACCCTCTCCTCTGTCTGATCCCAACCCGAACTCCACTTCCTGCTGCTCCAGTGGCCGGGGCTCCTATGTACACCTCAAGAACCATCCAAGAAAGGCAAGAAGTAGAAGCAAGGACGGGTCCGCATCCTGGCAGCTGCTTGAGGCTCCACTGCCATGAGAATCGCGAGAATTACGGGTCATAGAAACCTTCGGGGCTATACCATCCCTGCCCTGAGAGTCCCTAGTCACGGCAGCGCCCCAGCCCAGCTTGAGGCTGATGCTAATGTGCCAGGACTCAGACGCGGGGAAGCCATCCTAGAGCCCTCCTGGATTTAGCAGAAAGGACATGAACAGGTCAGTGGAGTGGCTGGAGCCTGGGGGTGGGACGGAAGAGGCAGCAAGAGCTCTCCAAGTGCTTCTACCTGCAGCCGGGGGTGGGGGCTGAGAACCACCCAGGAGGCCCGCCCCTGGCCGGTGAGGGAGCGGAAGCCCAGGCTCCGTCAAGGACAGAGCCCAGAGCGGGTCCAGGGGGCTCACCCTCCAGAGAAGATCTTCTCCACATAGCCGCGCATGAACTCCCGGAGCTCCAAGGTCTCCTCGTCCTTGGCCGACTCGGTGCTCTGGTTGGAAGAGAAGGACTCGTTGGAGGAGGAGCGGCGGTACTGGTCCCAGGATGGGTGGGAGGGCGACTCGCCCATGTCATTCTCGCTGTCCGCAGACTCTGTGGTCTCGCTCTCCGAAGCTCCATCGCCCTGGGAGCTGTCCCCTTCCTGCAGCTTTGGAGGCAGCATCTCCAGGGGCGAGGAGGCAGACGGCTCAGTCCCGAAGTCAATCAGCGTGCCCACGGGGACCTCCGGGGCCTCCATGATTCGGGGAGGCTTCCAGGCTGGAAGACCAGCAGACGGGACTCCCAGACGCGTCAGCGGGAGCTGGAGGCCACGCGCACGGGTTGCTTGGTAGCTGCTGGCCAGCAGGAGTCCTCCGGGGCGGCTCTCGTGGTCCTAAGGCATCTAGAATGGAAGACACAGAAACATGATCACCACGAGAGCTACTCCCTGCGTAGGGGGAACTTAGCGCTGAGAATCCAGACTTCAACGAACAAAGGAGGCCACAAATTTCCTGAAAAGAGAATAGGCTCCAAACTTCTAGAATCTGGGTCATCGCTACACGGACATCATTTCCCGACTGCCTACTGCTACACACCTGGCACATGTAGGCACTCAGGAACTACTGGTTGAACAGCAACGAGCAGGACTTCTCCCCACCACACCTGTGACTTCAAAGCCACTGCACCCGCCGGCCCCCTCCCTGCTCTGGCCCACCCGACTGACGCCAAGAAATGCGAAGGCTGAGCCCGGGCTAGAATCCGAAAATCACCAGGGACACTTCTGCCTGCTTGCTGCCGTGTCACTGGCTATGGGAGATGGTGTCGTCCAGCATGTTGGGAAAGCCGCCCCTGTTAAGCACGTGGGCCCCTCCCTCCCTGGGCTCCCACCTGAAGACGCTTCTCCTCAAGGCCCAGACCCTTCCCAGGCTGTCAGATGCCCCTTTTCATATCACTCACCACCCCGCCACCAGCTTCTGCGGGTCATCTGCTGCCCAGACCCAGCCTCTCCTTCCCGCCCTCCCCCTGCACCTGCAGGATGAGGACACCCGGATGAAGGCACGTGTCTTGCGGTGCCTGGTCCTTCCGCCCTCCCCCTTCCCCACTCCACCCCGTCTTCCTGCCTCACCCTGCCCGGATGTTGTCCATCTCCCAGGGGGACACGGTGACGCCTCTTCCGAGCAGCTCACTCCAGCCCTGGTCAAAACTATTCCCGATGCCTGCGCGCGCCTCCAGCATTGTGCCTACCCCCAGTCATGGTGCCGCTTGTGTGACGGACAGGTGTTCCCATTTCTGTTCGTCCTGCCAGTCTACGCACCTCTGGAGCCATGGGCTGTCCTGTGCAGTCTCGACTACGGGTGTTTGCTGCACGTCTGTGAACGGACTGACAGGGCTGCGTGTGAACGTACCCCGAGAGCTGGGGACGGGGCTCCAGGAGGCAGAGGTCGGACTCTTTGCATCTAAACCAGGTTTCCTGACTGCCAGCTGGGGGTGTCGCCTACCAGGTCTGGGACCCGCCTTCCCCGGGCGAGCCGCAGACAGCTCAGCACGAAGCAAGAGCCCTTCTGATGCAGAAGCTCCTCCAGGCAAGGGCAGCCTCAAGACTGGGCCTGCCCCCTCGGCACCCTCCGCAGACCCCGAATTTCTAGGCCAACCCCCAGCAGGCAGGTGGCCGCCGCTGCGGCACTGGTGCATCTTCTGACAGTAATTCTATACTAGACTGCGTCTGCTGCCTGTTAAGAACTCAATGTTCACAAATCGATCATGGGTTCCTCCAAATTGCCCAGCTCAGGATATTTTTAAACGCCCTGAGTCAGAGAGATGGAATGGCTGGCTGGCTCCTCGCCATCGCAGTGGGAACGGGACACTTTGAGGAGATCCTACGACGCGTACCTTGGTTCAAAAAAGAGAAGCATAAACCTCCACTTGAAAGAGCCGTTGGGGCCAGGAAAGAAACACAGGGTTGTGAGGAGCTCGGGAGACAGGACCACCACCCAGAGAGGCGGACACTGCGGGGGCCAGTCGGAGGCCCGTTCAGCCCTGGTCCCCCTCCTGCCACCTGTGCCCGTGGCCTCCGCTCCCTGGGCCAGGGTCTCCCCGTCTGAGACACTGTGGTTGGGCTCACATTCTAAGGTCCTTCTGGCCACCACATTCTCAGACTCTCCAGAGCACAGAAAATCGCACCTATGACGACACACTGGGCATTCAAAATGGAAAAATCACACACTAGGAAGATCTCGTTCGCCGTCGTTATGATAGGAAAATGGGGTCAAAATTATTTGTATTATAAATTCCCCTGAAACCAACTGAAAACTGTGTTCTAAGAAGGAATACAAATGACTCAGACAAGTCACGTAAGAAATTCTCTTACTAAATGCTTAGACAACGCTTCAGCCTACACTGGTAACCGCGCATGCAGAGAGGCAAGTTAAAACAACTAGGTAGCATCTTACACTATTACATGAGCAAAAACTTTAAAATGCAAACAAAATACTGATGAGGTTATGGTAAAGTTGAAACTCTCAAGCCGTCCTGAAAATAGGGATAAATAAGACTCTGGAAAGTGTGTTTGCTTGCTTATGTATTTATGCATGTACTCTCCATACCTAATGTGGGACTTGAACTCACTACCCCAGAGATCAAGAGTTGCAGGCTCTTTCAACTGAGCCAGCCAGGTGCCCCTAGAAACTATTTTTTGTGATTTTTATTATTTTATCCTCTGATCCAGGAATTCAAATTCTTGAAATTTATCCTAAGAAAATAATTTAAACCCTCAAAACCGGTTACATGGAGGAAAAAATACTCCTTGCAACAGTACTTCTAATCCTGATAAACTGGGGTGGGGGAAACCTAAATACAGGAAAATGGCAAATACATTCTAACAATTTGATGCAATCGTCATGAGCGAGTGATGCAGTTGTAAGCAATCAGAACGTCAGTGAATGATGTTCACTTTGCAGCTAAGTAAACAAAATAATCTGCAGTCAACGAGTACTAACTGAATCCCATAGCACGCCGTCCTTTGGAGTGGGTGCTAGGAATCCTGGAGTGCATGAATTTTAATTTTTTTAAAATAACAATAAAGCACACGTATAAAAAGGGCTGGAAAAGAAGACAGTGTATTATAGTCCTGTAACTGAGGTCATTTTTCCTTTTGATTTTGTTCTTGATCATAATGATACAGTTTGCAATAAATAAAACACTGGAAGGGAAAAGGAAACAAATTTCTGTATCTGGAAACGGTTTCCAGCGGTCAGAAGGGCTGCACCAATTTACCAAGCAGAACACCCCAGCATCAGGACTGCAGGATCAGAGCAAACCATCCTGGCTATTTCTGGTCCTGCCTGAGGCTGGCAAACGGCTCTCCCAGCATCTCCCTCACTCGAAATTCTGGAAGTGCGTGTGAGTCATCCTTTCCCAGAAGCCTCCTGTGTGGGCTCAGGCAGGAGGGACAGAGTGACAGGGAGAGGCAGAAAGTGAGAGGCCTGACTGTTGGGTAGAGACAAGTGGCGGGCAACCCGAGCCTCGGTGTGCCAGGGCCCCGCGGGCTGCGGTGTGCAGAGCAGACCTCCGTCTCCACACCCTGCTGCCCCCTTAGCCCAGAGATCTCCTCTCTGGCGCAGAGAGAAGGCAGGGGGGCCGTGTCTGCTCACGGAGCTGAGATACCAGGGGGAGCGGCCGTGTGTGGGTAGGGGCCTTGGAAGCACGCCCACCCTCTTCCTTCAGGAAGGAAATGTAATCACGGGCCTCAGCGCAGGTCGAGGCGACGGTCGCTCTGAACACACCAGGACTGCACACCTCGCGTGACTCCGTGTTGGGCCAGCCAGAGAACACAGAGGAAATGGGCTCAGCGGGAACCAGCCGTGCCGTCCCCGGGCAGAGCTACACTCGGGAGGGCCGGCCCAGCCGCACCAGATCTAAAGAACCTTCTGAAAAATGCCCGAAACGCACTACGTGAGACCCTCCAATTCCGCAATCCCGGCAACTAGTTTGCATTTCTTCAGAACGTGCAGCGGCCCGAAGAAAACACACCTGCGGATTGCACCCAGACCCTCTGGCTTGTGCTCTGAAGGAAGGTTCCGGAGGCACGGCAGGGCCACAGGCTCAGAGACCCAGGCCATCAATTCACAGCCGGATGTTTGCAACTCCAGACCGTGTATATTAAAAATGATCTCCCGGAGCCTCGAAGCAGAACAGACCTTCCTGCAATTATACTTCTGCCGTTCATTTCCGGGGCCTCACAGCACGAGTTTCTACCAACCAAACTAGGAGAAAATTCTAAGTCCACCTATAACCCAAAGGCCTTAACCACCCACGTGCTCATTCAACAAGTATTTCTTTATCTTTTCTTTAGGTAGGCTTTACGCCCAATGTGGGGCTCAAACTCACGACCCTGAGATCAAGAATCGTGTGTTCTGCTGACTGAGCCAGCCAGGCGCCCTGGACAGTGTTTGCTGAGCAGCTGCTCTGCGTCGGCGAGGACGTCAGCAGCTGGGAACGCAGGCGTGAACAGGCGGGAAGGAGCACCTGGTCACGTGTGGGGGTGCAGGCTAAGAGATGGGGTGGTGGCGGTGGCGAAGGGCAGGGGGAGGTCTCGTAAGAGACAGCTTATAAAATGGAAACCCAAACAAGAACTTTCGGGGGCACTGAGCACTACGGAGAGTCTCCAGGCAACGTCTCTGAGAGCCCAGAGAAGCGCTTCTTCGGACTGGGAGCAGGGGAGGCAGATGCGAGCTGAGAGGGAAGGCGGACCCGCCAAGAAGACTCAAGGGTCCTCTGACAGGAGAGAAGTCTGGGTGGAGGTGAGGGTCTGCACAGAGGCCCTCAGCAGCAATAACTCTGGGAAGTCCAGGAATCAGGAGGCTGATGAGCTGAGGGGCACCGCTCACGGAGCAGAGGTTGGCCAGGCGTGCGGGGAGGGCTTGTCGGCCCCCCACCCCGGGGTCCGTCCGGGCTCACGGCAGCCGCGGGACCAGCTTAAATACCGGCAGCTGTGTGCACAGGACAGGAGCACAGGGGCGGCGTGGGGGGTGAGGGGGGGCTGGCCGAGGTGGAAACATCCTGGTGGGAAGTTCCCGACCTCCTGCCCTCCCCTCCCCATCCCCTTGCCCCCCGTCCTTTCCCGCCCCTGTGGCCCCAGCTGCAGAAGGAACTGGGAAGGAGGCTGCCCTCTTGCAGCTGCCCAACCACATCCCCACAGGGCCCTGCTCAAACTCTGATTCCCCCAGCACCCCGGAGCAACCCGCACCAGGATTTCTCCAGCCGGTAGACCTTGAGCAATCAGATGAGGCTCCCTGCATGTGAATCCGGAACTTTCTGTAACTCTGCCCCTTCCCATCCACCTCAGGAAACTCCCTCTCGTTTAGTGTCTCCGAGAGCGATCAGATGTGCTGTCTTCCCTCGCTC